TCTCTCTCTCTCTCTCTCTCTTTCTCTCTCTCTCTCTCTCTCTCTCTCTCTCTCTCTCTCTCTCTCTCTCTCTCTCTCTCTCTCTCTCCACGTTGGTCGTGCTGCATCTAATTGTGGACACTAGTAAGACTTGTTTTGGTCCATGTGAGATACCCCAAGAAAAAAGCCGAAGACTGTGCAACTCTGTATGGGCTTTCTATGGGATCCGCTGATGGCGAAAGCTCACATCACACTGTGTAGTGTACACATTGTACGGTCACAACTTGTTTTTTTTGCAAGCATCGGAGAAGTAACAATTGCACTCTCTGTCAGAAACCCACTCAGGTGGTGCGAGTCATCAGCAAGACCATGGCTGATATTTGGTATGTGCGCACCCTGACCTACTTTGTAGGTAGTACGAAACGTACTTGGCCACGAGTTGTGAGTTTTTGCAGTCGGAGACCCCGTAATACGCAGAGCTGCCTGTTGTTGGGAGCTTATCTACTCTTGATACCACTCTTGATACCACTGTACACGTCCTTGTCAACTATGTCTATGGTAATTGACGGCTAGTTACAGAAGCAGGTGTCATTGTTAAGCATGTTGTACGTGGTGTGTTTCCATTGTCATTTACTTTGTTTATGCAGATGATAACCAGGGAGATTGGGAGTGATGATGTGCATGAGCTCTTCTTGTCCAAGGATGGCTTTGACCAGAAAGCAAGGGAACGCCAGCCTGTTTACACGGGAGAGATCCTGAATCGTCCACCAGGAGACCATCATCACGTGACGGCCTCTGCTCCAGCTGATCACTTGACGGAATTCATTGAGTCCGAGCCAGCACGTGACAATTTCACTGCGGTCGTTATTACGGGTATGTTATCTTTTCCAGTGCAGCAGTTATCCCGTACTTCCGCGCATATAAGGCCATGGCGTTATTAGTGAATAAAATGACCACAAGAAAAGTGAAAGTGCATGCACAATGTGATCGGTTCCGCACCAGTGGTTCATGTTCTGCTGGTACATTTTGCATAGGCGTCTCACTTTTAGTGCAATGGCATTAAAACAGGGACCATTTTCTCAAAGATTTAGGTCGAAAACAACGATTTCTCACCTATAACGCCATGGCTTTATGTATTATAGTTTGAGTATGTGGGGAAAAAACGGTAGGAGAACTGTTGCCGATTTTTGCTTTACATGTACTTTCTAATTTTGAGGTTGCGGATGACGGTGGTAAATTTCGCTTTTTTTTAGGCGACTTCATTGCTATATGGGTCGTCGCAAAAGTTTTTTTTTGTCCCTGAAACGAACATCGTTCTTTTCGTGCACGGGCCCCTCCCCTCCCTCTCAAACAAACGCAGCTTGCTATGCTGGACGACGAAAGTTGCATGCGTGTACATGGTATATGTACAGTGTCGGTCGACTTGCGATTTTGGCTCGCATCCCTCCCCCCCCCCCCCCCCCCCCCGCCCGAACGAATGATGTTCGTTTCAGGGACAACAAAAAAACTTTTTCGACGACCCCTAAGGGGAAGTCAGTGAATACTGTAATTTCACAAATTTTCGGTGCACTTTTATTTTCAGTACTTTCGGTGTATCTGTTTCATACCTAAAATTTCAATAAACCAAACAGACACTAACCTGGCCTTTTGCCCTCATACCGAGAATACTGAGCACCTAAAATTTCTGAAATTAGAGTATACAACTTGTGCAATTGCAGATTTGTGTAATTCTCTTTTGACGGGCTTATACAGCACATGGTGTGTTCAAATGTGTGTATGGATGGAATGCCTATGTTTGGGATGATATTCACTGTGTTCACGTTTGCATATGGTATAGCTGTATTGTTCTGTGGGTGGCGTTCATGCACGTGTCTTAGGTGTATCTCCCGGTCATGTGCAATACTTGCGCTATCATTTCAAGCACTGGTGTCGTCAGCTTGCGCACATTTATCACTACTATCTACATGGTCCGCAGGGTAATGTCTCTGAAGGAAACTCGAAGGCTGCCAATGGTGCTGGTGAGAATATTGCAATTGTTATGCCTCGTTACCATGGATTCGGTGTGTGCACCAGTGATTCTGTTTCCTGTGTATGGCTTACGTAGCAATTGCCTATTTATGTACATTTTTGCTGTAGTACACTGCCACCACACTTGGAATTATGGACACCTTGAGTTTAGGTGTATGAGTCTTAACCTCCGCTGCAGCCTTGCCTTGCCTACACTCTTCTTTGTGGTATGAGCCTCTGCACCAAGACCATGCATGGAATCTTGCGTGTTGCAACAGTCTCAACTTCTGAGTCATGGTTACATTCCGTCGTTCTGGTTTCTGCTTTTTGCTTGATGCTTTATACTATGATTTGTTACAGAGAATGGTACTTCGAAGAAGTCTACTTCCTCTAAGAGCTCCGTATCTGGAGCACCGTTTGAGAAGATTGATATCAAAGTGTCACTTTTTGAGAAGGTGATTTGGAATACGATATTTTGGAACATATAATTCATGTTCAGAGTATTCAAAATGCAGTGTCTTGTTACCTAAATGGTCTTTTCTATACAATCTATTCAGTACCAGATCATCATTGCAACTTTGTGTTAAAAGACAAGGATAGATGTGTGATTGTGTGTATGTGTGTGTGTGGTTGTGTGAATATTGTGCTATTATTCCTGGTACAGGGCAAGCCGCCGGTCATCGTACAACTCAGTGAAATCAACGATGATCTTCAAACGCAGTACATTCGCTCTTCAGCATCTTCATTTGAATTCTGTGCTGAAGTGGACGGCATTGGATCTGTATGTGGTTTGTCTCTTGACTCATCCCGACTGAGACTTGCTGTTTCTTCATTGCTGTTGGAATATTTAGGGTATAGCCTGCACATTGCTACAGTTGTGATTCTTTCCGGGTGTAGGAGCTAACCTGGTTGTGCAGCTGTTGTGTTGTATGTCAGGGGTGTAACCCAGGATGCCTTGGAATTAGTGGCGTGGAATCAGTTCCTGTTTATGTAGGCTCTGCTTGCCTGATATCGGCTGACGGTATTATTGTTTTGGTTATGAATTTGAGGGATACATGTAACCAGTTTCCGGGGCATACAGTGAACCAGTCGGCCTATCCCACATGTTGGGACGTAAATCTATGCTTTTTTCAGTTTAACCAGTCATATACCGTGTGTCCTGTGCACAATCTGTATGTTTATGAGTTAGTGTGTGTGTGTGTGTGTGTGTGTGTGTGTGTGTGTGTGTGTGTTCGTGTGTGTGTTCGTGTGTGTGTTTGTGTGTGTGTGTGCGTGTGTGTGTATGTGTATGTGTGTGTGTGCGGTGCATGTGTGTACATGTGTGTGCAAGCAAGCAAGTGCTTACGTGTCATTGCTGGTACTGGTAGACTGATGAACTGCTTTCCTTTGTGCTGTGTGTCTGGCAGGTCGAAGGTGTGCTACGCTACCATCCCTTTCACTTTGACCATGAAACTATCCCACAACTGGAAGACCCTAGTGAGTATGGCTGTTTTACCTTCAAAGGTTTACTCTGGAAAATGCAACTTCTTGAATGCATGTGTACATGCACTTCAGAATAGTAATCTGCTCTGGTGGCTGCACACTGAAGTGGACTTAACGTTCTTTAGGCCCGGTTTCACCGACCAATAACATGGATGGAGTGTGCTTTGGTTTAGAGTAGACGGTTGATTTCCCTAGGAACAAGTTGATAACTTGATCTTCATGCCAAGTCAAGGGTTTATACCAATTGCCCATCCATTCATTCATGTGCATGCCTTAGGAGTGTCCATGACTGTGACTTTAGGGATTTGAGCGTGTGACTGTTTTGACAATTTGCGTACTATGTCCCACTCCCCGTGCATATTAATTTCTATTTGTGCATGTACTTGCATGTTATCGCTGTTCAGATAACGTGGATGGCGAGGAGAAGGAGGTGGAGAAGAACCGTGCTTTGTTTGAGTGCTACTGGAATGGTCGGCTTATCCCTTACACCAACATCCAGAGGTGTGTAAATATGAGGTGTATGTACAGTAAGATCGGGCGCCGAAGAACACCTCGCCGAAGAACACCCAGGCTGGAAAACCGGCAAAATTTAAGAACAGTCCAGGCTAGAATTATCAGATTTAAGAACACTAGATCTACATTGTACGTAGATCTACATTGTACATGCATGGGAGGTGAGTACATGTCATGTACACGTGTAAACAGTAACTGCTACATATACATGTACAGTCATTCCCATTTACGACACCCACTAGTTTAGAAGTATTACATTGCACTACATGTACATGTACATGTACATGACAAACGTCATGACGTCACTCGACTCGCCGCGCGCGTGTGAATAAGAACGGTCAGGCTAGAATCAAAAATTTAAGAACTTTCCTAGGCTGCGCTCGAGCCCCTGCGTTCTTCGGCGCCCGATCTTACTGTAGTGTTTGTAGCAGATGACTGCAGTGCTGGTCGATGAGATGTACGTTTCGCGAGTCCAACCCCAGACCTGCAAATACTGGTCTGTTCACTTGTGCAGGGCACTATTCACGAGCACGGATTTCATTGTGCATGACTGTTGTACATGTATACTAGTTCTAACTTGGGTTGTGCTGGGCAAGAGCTTCATGTATCTGCTATCACTGTTTCATGTTATACTGTTTTCACCCTGGACATACGAGCGTATACGTGTCTTCCGTATTGGCGGATATTAAAATGTGAATTATTATTCCACAATCACAATGACATAATGCAGAGCCAATAAACATGTGATGCGGGCGATTATAACCAGCCATGGGTGCAAGGTCACTGCGTGCATGCCGGGGAGAACTAGAAAATATTGTCTTGAAAAAAAACATTGGCATTTATGGATGGCCCCCGAAGAGTATACGGTAAAGTCCGCTATAGATGGCCACCACCCCTGTGCAAGACATACAGGCCTATATGCACGGACCCCATGCGCTGTCACTGGTGAGGTACGTGATAACCTTGAAAGGGTATCTCACACCGTAGTGCGACGAGCACCTTTCTACGATAACCCCTCTCCACTTTGTGTGCGTACGTGTGTGGGTGTGGGTGTTGTCCTTTGTACAGCCTGGAGTGGAGTCAAGTCAAGCGCACTGGCAATGTTCCCGAGGAATGTTTTCACAGGTATGCACTGTCCATCGAGTGGGTGCTTCTTGAAATCTTGTCAGCGTTGTACCTAGTTGTCACGCTTTCTGCTGACTGCATATCACCTAGTTACAATGGTGGGCAATTACTCCTATCTCGTATCAAATTGTCCATTTTCCGACTCTAGATGCAGGTATCAGTATTTGGTTGATTGTACAGGCAAATCTGTGGTAGGCGACCATCTACTGTCAATGACCTCTTTCCTTGTTTGGGTGGTGGTTTCGCATTCAAGCTGATCTGTCCAGTGAGACCACCTGCCATGCGCTTCCATGACTTTATGCACAGTCTGAGGCTGTTTGTCAACCTGTTGCAAGAGACCACAGCCAAGGTGCAGTGAGGTGTATAACCACCATAAGTTCAGGGCTCACAATTTCTATGCTGCCAATCCAAAAGTGTGCCCAATATTTCCGCATGCGCTAGTCTTATATTTTGACTTTGGGACACAGGCAGGATGCCGCCATGTGCCTTGCATCAAAACAAAACGTGTCTTGCGTTGAGACAAATCTATAGTGACTACAAGAAAGAAGAAAAGCGAAGCAGTACAGAACCGTGAGAAAAGAAGTAGCTGAGGTGACGGCTACACTCAGTCGGTAACGTGTTGAGATTAGACAAGAGTCCGCAAGGCAAAGGCTGAGAAGAACACGAGCATGCGTCAGTGCCAGTGCCAGCCTTGGCCTGGTTGCTTATGACACTCTTGACTGCACTAAATACGATGTGGAGATGTTCTTTCCTCTTATGCAGCACACTCTCACCCCCTGTTTTGTGACTTTGTGTACATTGTAGAGTATCTGGTGTGCTGTGGTCGGACAGTCATTTCCAAGTCAGTACAAACAAGCTGACATTCATTGATCTCCCATCTCGCCTTCAAGAGAAGTCAACGTGGTACTCGCGTGTAGTGCGAGGTGTGGTGAGTTCTTGTGTATAATATTTGGTTTTCCATTGCTATGCACAGTTTCCCATAACTCACTGCTCACTGCAGCATAGGACTGCCGCCACGCCCAATTCATATGCATGTGCTGTATCAACTGAAAGGTTGCCACTCATTCCATGCATGTGTCGTCTTCCTGTATTGCTTTTGGTTGTTGATTTGTTCAGGAACAACGCTGTCCCCACATGCAACGTGCCTTCCTCGACTGGCTGAAGGAAAGCCATGAACTATATGACAAACAGGTAGGCCAACTTCGTTTGTGTGTTATGGGACCTTAATATTGAAGTTGTGTTAGGGTTGTGTGAAGCTGAATTTCACTTCTTACTTCTTGGCCTAAGCTTACTAAGACTGGTAGTTATAGCTGTTTTGTGGGCTTTGCTTTCTCTCAAGAACTAGACGAAGTGTGTTAGAGTCTTGCACTTGCAGTGTCTAGTCACTGAGTGGATTCCCCATGTTTGCTGTGTTGTTAGGTCAAGTTCATGGGGTTCAAGGATCAGATCCGCCGCAAGGATGTAGCACAGAAGCGAATGCAATCGCCGTGGTCTGTCTTTGATTCCATTGAGTGGGATGGCAAAACATTCCGCAAGGGACAACTGGTATGTGGCAATAAGAGCACTGAGTGTAATTTGCTTTATATTAGGGCTGAAACGAATATCCCGAATATTCGAACATTCGTTCATTTACCTTCGCAGAACGAACATCTGTGAGGTGACGAATATTCGAACTGATCTTTTTCTTTTTCCTGATATGCTACTACAGTAGGTATCGATTATAGCGTGGGTGTTTGAAAAACGACTTTCTATTCTTATTTCCGATATTTCTTACACACGATAAATCAAGTGTGACGTATCATGTGCATGTGCGCAGAGGCAGGAAGATCATCGTACTTGCACTTATAGTGTTACGGTACATGCGGCTGGTCATAGTCACATAGGCTTACCATGTGGCTATGCAACATGAGTTACATGACCACAACAGTTGGACCTACAGCAATACGACCCAACGCGAGTCAGATCGGAACAGCAGATTGGACGGATATTATTACTATAGGCGATATACTTTGTACTAATCTGGTATGTTTTGCTACACAAAGTCCATTCTTAGGACCAATACATTTTATTGTACGATAAAATTGCTTGTAAGAATAAATGTCCACTTGAAATCCATGTTATGATTATGAAAACATGAAAGTTCATTCTTGTAGGCAGTACTGTATAGCAGGAAATTTTCAGACGGAATATATTTTCGTACGATTTCGTACACGGCCTTTTTGTACTAAAATTAATTCCGTACTAAAATTTGTTCATGTGACTTTATGTGCACTGTTCATGGGTACTGCTTGCGAACACGTGCATTTAGCATGCAGCACTGTACGAAAATAAAATCCGTACGAAAGGTCGAAATTCGGCTTTGTCCGAAAATATTTCCGTCCGAAAATTTCCTGCTATACAGTATATTCTTTTACACGACCACGCTATAACCGATACGCACTGTACTTTTGGTACACGGAGTCTGTGTGAGTATGAGCGCAGTTCGTTGGCCATGCGTAGTGCTTATAGAGGGGAAGATGTGGAGAGCGATCCCCGTGCCGATAGTCTCCCATTGACTTTCTACGCATCTGCGTGACGGCACCACAACGTGGCGTGCGCGCAACCTTACGGAGCCATCCGACAACGCTTCTGAGACGATGTTGCTCCTAATGGCGAGCGGGTCACGGCCACTGAAGTGTGTGATGGCAATGGCATTCGTTTCCTCCCCGAAGTAGACTTTTTGGTAGTATCATGCCCATGTCGGAACTCTGACAATTTTCTCGAGTTATCAATAAAGAATATTCGTTCGTTCGTTCGTTAGCGTCAAGAATGTTCGGTTACTGACAAATTGTGTTCGTTTCAGCCCTACTTGTTATTCTTCTGTTCTCTCTCTGTACATGTACCTTTATTTTTCTTTTGTAAGTTAGTCTCCTTCAATATTACTTCTGTGCCTCTGGTATGATTTCTTCAATTCGATGATGCCATCTTCATCCATCCATCCTACTACTACTATGGTTTATTTATGGCATCTCTGTTTATGCCTGTTTACGCCTCTTCATGCTTCTTGTACTTATTGATGTACTGGCTACAGGCGAATTTGGCATTGTATTTTCATTTTGACTTCCATGGAATGACTGCTCTACATGCTGTGTAACCCCTCTCCTCCTCCTCCTTCTTCCTCTCGCTCTCTGTCTATCTCTGTCCCTCTCTCTCTCTCTCTCTCTCTCTCTCTCTCTCTCTCTCTCTCTCTCTCTCTCTCTCTCTCTCTCTCTCTCTCTCTCTCTCTCTCTCTCTCTCTCTCTCTCTCTCTCTCTCTCTCTCTCTCTCTCTCTCTCTTCTTCCCTCGGTCTGTCGGTCTCCCTTTAGGTGAGAATACACCGTGTTCTGCCCGTCGTCCTTGGGCGTGTTAAGCGCTTTCTGCTGTTCGGTGAACACGAGGGAGGTGACCTCTATGCTACTGGTGGTGAAATTGAAATTGCTCAGGTATGTCATCTATGCATTACTAGTGTAATACCGCTGTACGAGTGTATTTGTATTCTTTGCATGTTCTTAGTTGGGTAGGAAAGTTGGAAACGATGCCCTGTGCTCTTGTTATGGAACACAGATAATACCAGAGGCTTTTGTTATTCATTTTATATTGCCCAAGAGTCTGCCAGATGAACTAATATGATCCTATTCTGCTCATTTTGTGTTTCTCATTTTTGCTTCAAGGAACCTGTGTCATTGTTCACTGAGACCAAAGTCTACCCATTGTCAAAGCTTGACAGAGCCTGTACTAAAGACATGGTTCAGGCGCTCATTGTTGAGGAGGAGCGCAAGTACGTTGAATGTTTGCCCAGCTCTTGATGTTTATATGTTTCTTGGACATTCTTGCAACGTGCTGCACATCTTGCTGTATTTATTTGATTGAGTATTTCTCTTGACGTATACTTTTGTGCTGTTTGTTGATACCGTAAAAGCTCTTTGCTGTTTGCCTGGGCTAAGGTGCCCTTGAGACTACATACAGAGAGCATGGTATATATATGATGCTGTCGAAATCGAAATAAAGAGAGCATCCAGTACATACACTAGAAGGCAACTTTTTCCAAAGCCTGCAGGCAGACTACAATTTACATGCTGCAGACAGGCAACCTTTGTCCTTACGTGAATGTGCACAAGTTGGGAGCCGTATAAAGTTTGTACGACTGCGTGGCGAATGTACGGGAAATACAGGAAAGTTGCCTTGTGCAAGGGTCAGCCTGAACGGACTGGACAACTCTTCAGGCTTCCTGCCCCATTCTTGTAGTTGTCTTGGGAACTAATATGTAAATGTAACATACCTTGCAGTAGCCTTGCAGTAGGCTGATGTGCACCTAGTGTGAGTGGCCCCTTTCCGTGTCTTTTTCCCCTTTCTATGTGTTGTAGGCTACCAAGCCAGTTGGATGTAACCTTTCCTGATGGCAATGCTATTGAGAACAATGCCAAGCTACCCTGTGACTCTATTCTTGGTAATACTGATACTGCTTTGTTACTGCGTCAGGTGCTAAGTCTTATCACACAGTTGATAGTACACACCTAGCACTATGCAGTCGTAGGAGGCACATAGATTGCGAAGATTAGTCACTTCCTGCAAGAATGTGATCTCAAAATCCTCACTCTTATTTTCACTTACATTTGAACACCAGCTGTTCCCACATTCTCCATTGTGTATCTAGTATTCTACCAATGGCTGATACTATGCTATTGTCCAATGATCGCGGTGTGAATGCAAAAGTTCAGTACTCGGTGTGCATGCATGAAACATTCACTGAAAACTGAGTGATATGTGTTGTTTCTTTTGCGTGCTGTACCTGGTATCTACCATGCAGGTGCTATTGGCGTGGAAATCCTCAACGGTCATGGTGATCCAATGTCAAAACTTGTCGGTGAACGGCAGAAGCAGCTAATGGTGGAGCAGCGCATTGTTCACCATAGTAAGATGTTGAAATAATATTAGCAAGCAATGCTACTATGCTATTGTGTAGTTATGTGTTTGCTCGAGAGTTGCTCAGTACTGTACCACTGGGTATGAAACCTTGGGGAATTGGCTGAAGTTGCGGCAGAAAGTTGAAAGTTCAATGGGGGGATTCTTGGAGAGCCCATCAATCGCTGCATTGAATGAGTATCTGTCTGATTGGTGTGCCAGCACCAGTACCAGTACCAGTGTCTCATACATCTGTTTCAGTAGGGTGTATTCCATTACGTGCACCTGTCCCGCATGCCTGATTGACTGCATGCTAATTTTCGCAATGTGTTGTGTACTGTGAATGCGTGTTGGCTTTTGCCATATTTCCCCTCCACTGTTTAGCTCCCAGTGGTGACAAGGACATTGTTAAGCTGTGCAGTCGTCATGGTGGCAAGAAGTGGGCTTACTGGTTTGGTGCTGTAGGTAAGATACCAAGAATACATCATTAGAGAGGTTCTGCACAACGAAAATTCGAACGAAGTTTCGCGACAGGCCTTGCGAAAATGTGTACGAATTTTCGCACGAACTTTGTGTTCTGCACATTTTCGTAGTTTGCACGCGCCAAGTGCACGTACGACATGGCCCAATCTCACGAAACTTCCTACGAAAGTTCATTTCGCGTTCCCTGCAAGTTTCGCGTCCAAAGTTGCGAAAGTTCGTGCGAAGTTTCTCACTTCGTGACGTAGAGCGAAAGTTCGTACACATTTTCGTTTTGCAGAACCTCTCTATTGTGTCTGCCTGCCTGTCCATCTGTCTCTCGTTATACCTCTCTGTCCATCCTTCTGTGTATATGTAGGTGTGTGTGTGTGTGTGTGTGTGTGTGTCTGTGTGTGTGTGTGTGTCTCTCTCTCTCTCTCTCTCTCTCTCTCTCTCTCTCTCTCTCTCTCTCTCTCTCTCTCTCTCTCTCTCTCTCTCTCTCCCCCCCCTCTCTCTCTCTCTCTCTCTCTCTCTCTCTCCCTCTCCCTCTCTCTCTCTCCCTCTCTCTCTTCTCTCTCTCTCTCTCTCTCTCTCTCTCTCTCTCTCTCTCTCTCTCTCTCTCTCTCTCTCTCTCTCTCTCTCTCTCTCTCTCTCTCTCTCTCTCTCTCTCTCTCTCTCTCTCTCTCTCTCTCTCTCTCTCTCTCTCTCTCTCTCTCTCTCTCTCTCTCTCTCTCTCTCTCTCTCTCTCTCTCTCTCTCTCTCTCTCTCTCTCTCTCTCTCTCTCTCTCTCTCTCTAGCCAGTGCAGGCTGTCGTAATAAAACGACTCATCCGTGTTCCATTCCCGTGCATGGTACATGCATGGTGCGACGGCACAATGACAGCTGTCGCAAATCACACTGAGTATTACACGTGTTTTTTGGGGATTCCTGGTTAGCTGCTAGCTTTTCCCTACTCGAAGATGTTGCCTCCGCGAAATCTGGGGGTTTGTGTTCGTCCTGGCGAAAACCGTGTTTTGATCCGTTGAGGGAGACGAGAGATACAGTGCGAAGACGTACGATCTGTCCGAGAATCGGCGAAGAAGAAAGCTTCGCAGACGACCCGTAGTGGTCGGGAACAGAATGGAACATATACCAGTCGATGCCTGTCATGGTAGGGATGACTGCTACGAAGTTTCAGCCTCATGCTCCCCAGCGCTTTTTAGCGCCCGACGATAATTACCAAATTTCATCGATTTTCCATGTGGATCAAAGCATAGTCTCCTCAATCTTCTCCAATCGAGCTGAGTCTGGACGCTACAATGTCGAGACGCGAAAAGAGAACATGCATGAACACACAGGAGCATCACATGCAGCTGCATTCTGCCTTGACGAAGAGAACAACACCAGCACCACGCATTTTGGAAGACATTTCGAAGAAGACGAAGAACTGCATATCTGCGTTCAAAAAAAGCCTCTGTACTGTGCAGTATGCATGCATGCATGCGCGAAGCACGGGGTCCGCGGATCATACTTCGTTCAAAAATCATTGTGCCACACGGGTTGTATGATTTGTGTGCGATCATGGCCTTTCTTCTTGACAAACAAAACTGAAGTTTTTCGACCTTCAAATCGCCATAGCGTCCTTGTCATGACTCCAAATCAGCTGAAACTTTGCAGGAGGAATGAAAATGCCATGCTGAATCGATTGGTACCATTTTCGAAGGGTTTCCTTGAAAAATAAAATTTAGCCTGCACTGGCTACTCTCTCTCTCTCTCTCTCTCTCTCTCTCTCTCTCTCTCTCTCTCTCTCTCTCTCTCTCTCTCTCTCTCTCTCTCTCTTTCTGTCTCTCTCTCTCTCTCTCTCTCTCTCTCTCTCTCTCTCTCTCTCTCTCTCTCTCTCTCTCTCTCTCTCTCTCTCTCTCTCTCTCTCACTCTGTCTCTCACTCTGTCTCTCACTCTGTCTCTCTCTCTCCCTGTCTGTCTGTCTGTCTATCTATCTCTCTATCTCTCTCTTTCTTCTTACCAGGCTATGTGCACCGGCCATGTGCGCCGTAAATGTGCATAATGTGCATGCTTTCACAGCTAGGCTGCATTCGCTTTTGGCTACTGTAGGAGTTGAATCTCTAATGTGGCGCAAAGTTAAACAATTTAACGGGATAATCCATCGCTAAGCTAAGGGATGTTACCTAGAACTACTCCTCTCGCCTGTACTAGAACAATAAAGGACAGGTGTCTGATCGCAGGGTTCGTTAAACTATTCGTAAATCTTCACTAGTTGAGGGGAATCGTTAAACTTTAGGCTCATTAGACTTTCAACTCTTACAGTACTTGGTAGAATAGAGCTAAGAGAAGACGGTAGATGGAATGTCCACAGGACCATTCAGAGCACTTCACGGTGATTTGGTTTTCATATGACTGTATGTTGGTCAGGAAACTAACGAAATTGGATGAAATTGGATCGTTCACGAGAGTTGCCGGCATTACACTACCAGCACGTATTTTACAGTGACTATGTTGTGTTGTGCGTTCCGGTGTGTGGGTGCGTCTGGTGTGCGTGTTCACATGCTGTCCTCCTCTTCTCCAACACAGAGTTCCGAAGCACTGGTACTTACACGTTATCGCTTCAGGCTATTGTTGGCAATGACCAAACTTCTTCGTCCACATCATCCTTGCCATCTGTTCAGATCAAGTTTACTGTGACTGGTAAGTACCGTAGAGTGCATGCGCTTGCACATGGTGGCTACTCGGCCATCAACTGCAAAGACAACAACAACAACATTGAGAACAGCAGCAGCAGCAGCAGCAACAACAACCACAACAACAACAACAACTTGGATCATGAGAACCTAACCGCCATAGAAGCAGTAACTGCAATGTTTGTTAGCAGGAGTGAAACCGCCTCAACCAAAAGAATTTATTTTGAATGCACCACCCACCAGGTCACGACATCTTGCCGAATTATTATTATTATTATTATTATTTTATTTGTTTTAAAGTAGTGGTTGCGACTTCGGCGATAATTTGTAAGAAAGGGTTTGCTCCCCACACCGGAGCTCGCGCTATTCCGCCGACTTTACTTGACACTTGACTGACTCACGACTGCCATCCAGAGCACACGAGAAGTCCATCGAACCTTCGACTCGGCAAACCTGCAAGAAAGCACCACTCCCTGCTCAATACAACACACGTGTATTGAGCAGGGAGTGGTGCTTTCTTGCAGGTTTGCCGAGTCGAAGGTTCGATGGACTTCTCGTGTGCTCTGGATGGCAGTCGTGAGTCAGTCAAGTGTCAAGTAAAGTCGGCGGAATAGCGCGAGCTCCGGTGTGGGGAGCAAACCCCTTTATTTGTTTTACTAATAATAATAATGAATGATTGTTTTCCTTGGTGCCTTTGTGATTGGCATTTGTTTTTCGTCCGCTCACAGAGGGAAAGGCTGTGAAGTTTTCTGTCGGAGTTTTGGATGGGCCGTTCCGAATTGGAAAACCATTCAAGGTGAGTTTCAGCTAGATTCCTCTTGACTGTTGTCAACAATGATAGGGTTAGAGTCTATGACTTTGCGTGTTTGGAGTCCAGATTTCCATGCGTAGATGAGGTTCTCTACGTTGTGGCACACGCAAAGAAAATGCTTACGGATCTGCTGGGTATCATTCAAATGCAGGCAGAAAACTGCCAAATTTGGAAGGGGAAATTCCCAGTACACTTTCCATGTGATTTCTCTACGTGAACGTAGAGCAGAACAGATTTCCTTTATATTACAGGAACGCGAAGAGTGTTCCCGGGATTCTTCGCATCGTGTTTCCGTAACGTAGAGCAAAACGTCGCTATTGTTACTTTTCGGTACATGTAGTTACACTGCGGCTTTTCCTGAGTGTATCCTATTTAGATCTTCTTTTATAGAGGTTGTACGATTACATCATTAGTTGAGATGCTTTGGCAAAGTTGCAGCACGGCACGCTCTAGCAATGCACTAGCTACTCACTCTGTATACATATACATCGTGCCCATGCGCGATTCCGCTGTATACTTAGCGTCCATAGCAGTTCCGGAATTCCGCTGACTCATCATATGCCTTCTTTGAAGTTTTTTTGCATAAACTCTTAGTCTATAGGTCACCTCTCATATAGTTGACTCACATTCCGGTACAGACACAGCTGGGGAAATACCCACTTACCCACACGTGCTCTCTAAGGGGCCGGTCACACTGAGGGAACAATCCTCTTATTATAAACCGGGAATAATTTTTTTCACTTTTCATCTCGGTTGCATGGATTTGCACAATGAAAAAAATTCACCCACACGAACTATTTTTTTGTCGCCGTTCGCTTCTGGCAGTCTGTTAGCCCCGCTCCTGTGCCAGAGCTGCATCAGCACAGCCTCTAGTATCGCTCCACTTCATAACGCAATAAAAAAACAAGGAAACTTAAAGACATGCAGTGGAAACTGGGGATGATTATAATCTTCAGCGGAAAAGCGGGCTCTCGAGCTGATTTTCATCGCGTCGGTTAATCTAAATTTCACGCTCAGTGGCAAATATCCATGGTAACCATGGATTTTTTCAAAATTTCCCTCAGTGTGACCGGCCCCTTAGCTTCATTGTTACACTCTGGCGCAGAGCTCTCCTTTTCACTATAAGTACAGCTGCAATGGAGTCTTCAATTTCATTCTTATCTCCTGTAGCATAGAAATATCTAACACTTGCTTGTGTGTGTGTATGTATGGGTGTGTGTGTGTGTGTGTGTGTGTGTGTGTGTGTGTGTGCGTGCGTGCGTGCGTGCGTGCGTGTGTGTGTGTGTGCGCGCATGCGTGCGCGTGCATGCGTGCGCGTGCATGCATGTGGGTGCTTTCTTTAGATTCCAATATCACTTCACGATCGGCTGGAGAATCGCACTCCACTTCCTTCTGGTATAACACCTGTGCTGGCAATCAGGTACAGATTTCAGATTCATTGCCGTTTGCTTACCCATCTTTAGGCGAGCTGTTTTGTTGACCTGGTTTTTCTGAATGAAAAAAAAATGATGGCCTGTCTGTAGTGTCTCCTCCTCGCTTCACGTTAGCTACAGTTCAAGAATCTGCTTTTAGTTGATCATGTCCTTTTACTGGTCTTTTCTCAAGTCTTAACATGTTTTTGAAAACAAGCTCTTGCATTTGTTCATTTCTTTTCCGTTTGTCTGATGAAGAAAGAGCATCATGTAAAGTGAAACTCGCTGAATAGTATGTTGTGCCTTGTCTGCTTTTTGTTTGCAGTGGAATGCAAGTGTCATTCAAGGACATCTCGAAAAAAGGCGGCGAATGTATCATGAATGGTGTTGTCATTCTTGGCAAAGTTGATTCCACCAATGGCAAGGTACGGTATATGGATATGCTTCCTGCTACTGTAGTGTTAGTTGTTTGCCTGTGTGCAGTAGAACTCCTCATGGTCTCATGGATTTAGGTGGTATAGAGAAATACCATCTTTTTAACCCTTTCCGGGTTTATGACTAGTGTACTCGTTAGCAGACCTCATCGCGTCCAGGGTATGAGGAGTATACTCACCATGTACATGTACTGTGTGTACAGTGTGCATACTGTATGCATTGGGTAGTCCACCGTGTATACAGCCATAACTCTGGAACGGAATATCACATCACAAGGAACAATAGCTCATTGGAACTGTCTTGGGAAAAGGCTTTCCAGAGTTGTTTTTACGGTAAATGCACTGTGCCTTGGAAAGTATTAAAATTCCGAGTTTACTCTCCCGTGCCAGTTGTTTTGTCAGTGACTTTAACCCTTTAAGAGCCGCCCCATACTTGAATGCGTCGTAAACGACGCATTCAAATGCAAAACTTCAAAAGATCGTAACTCAGTCCAATCTCGCTCAAATCCAGTGATCGAAATATCCAGGGCGAAGAGAAATCTCTCACCTGTCGGGAGAAACAATCCGCGAAGCGCTGCGAGCAACGGTTCCTGAGATAAATCACTCGTAAGTTGAGCCGCGATCGCGACAATTTCAAAAGCGCGCAGTGCGACTTTAGTATTGAGAATTTTGAGACTTTTCGTCAAGCTGGCTTACTCGAATTTGCACGGGTTTCACTGTTGATATTGTCAAGAGTACACAGCGAAAAAATTGGAACTCCACGATCGAGTAAAATGAAATATCTGGAGCGGGACGCAATTGGACGCATTTGGGGCATTTTTCGTACTGTCGTTGCGATCTAGCGCTGGATAGACGGTGTGCTGGCTATCATGATCGACCTCATTCTCTTCCTCTCGCGGAGACTTTTCCAGGAAGCCCTAGATTGTGAGGATTGAGTGAGTAGAACTGAAGCTATGATCCAAAGAACACGAAAAAATGCAGAATTTTGAAAATTTCCTGTGGCTCTTAAAGGGTTAACACAGTCTTGACAGTTTGGCATTCTGCTTTTTCTTCTTTGGCTGATACTGCTGCTGATGCTCCCAGGATGTGAGTATGTCTGTCCAAGTTCCATCACTGGATTCCTCGACACAGAAGATGAAGATCAGACTTCTGCCTGGTTAGTGTAATGTAGTACTCGTGAACGCATGCCACTGCGGAAGCTCTGGTTACTTTCGTCTGATGAAAAGTTGGAAATTGCTGATGTTGTTGAGTGTACAGCAGAACCTCTCTTATCCCGGGCCTAAGGGTGCCCATATTTCAGAATGTAAGCTAGCTGCATAGGTACTTGACTTGAGAATTGTATAATATTGTCTTGCTAATAATTGTCTTGTTTGGGTATCCTGTAGGCTTACCAAGTTCACTGGAAGTACAGCCTGATGATGAACCCATTCATTTAGAGAGTGGACGCAAGCTGGAACTGAAAGTTCGTGTTAAAGATGCTGCGGGAAACCCTGCATCTGACAATCGCATGGCAATCAACTGCAAGGTAAGTTGAAGATAATAATACAAGTAGAATTGAGCACTGCGATGAATACAGATGATGCCAACAGAATACCATGTAACAATCATAAAATTCAAAATGTGTAACCTGTGATTCACAAACGTTTTTCTTTCGATGGTCATCAGTGAACCTACATCGAATGGTGATTTACAGTCCGCGAAACCGCCTACAGTCCGCGAAATGTTTCCCATACAGGAAATGAAGTATGAATCCATCTTGATACATGAGGTTTAAAGCTGTTTGTACAGACAGGCCAGCGGTGGATAATTTAATGATAGTCTCCGACACGTGTTGGAAGGATGCATTGCGTAGCAACACACCAAGTAGTTGAGCACATTGTTCAGATGCGTTGCATTCAAAATACTTGAAAATAGGCCGATCATTTGAGATTTTACTTTGCTTCGTTGGCACAGTACCACTACTGCTGGCCATGGATGGTTCCTGGACTGCAGTTCTGTAAACTAAAATGTGTAGTGTGTGTGTGGTGTGTGTGTGCGCGTGCGCGCGTCTGTGTGTGTGTGTGTGTGTGTGTGTGTGTGTGCACGCATGTGTGTGCGTGTGTACATGTACGTGGGCATGTGTACTTGTTTAGCTGACTGGAGCGCCTCACCTTGAAACACTGTCTGCTGTAGCTAGCAACGGAGATGCAGTGTTGTCGTGTTGTCCCAAGGTTACCATCAAGAACATGAAGCCAGTCATTCTCAAAGCAGTTGTTGATATGCCTGTAAGTATCTGCACTTTCTAGACAGACTGTATTCTGAATATGCTCAATCTCCAGACAGCTAGCTGTTTCGACCTTGTTACAAATGTTAGGTCTCGTCAGTGGTGCTCAAAGCTACTGGCTGAATGTATGTATCTGGAGCACGGTAAAACTAAGCGTGACCTGACCATTTTGATATTGTCATATCGTAAGCGTTGCCCCTGCGGTCGATTGTGAACAGAAACAGCTTCTTCCTTTTAAAGCAGACTTTTTGTTGACAACATACCCTTTGCTGTACTGGACTAAATTGTGTTGTTCTGTATTTGTGTTGCTTTGCAGCATCACCGCAGTACCGTGTCTTCAGTGGAGCGTCGCATTGAGGTTGTGCCGAGCTGTCAACCTGCATCTATACAGGTACCTACTTGCTGATGATGCTGGTGCTGGTTACGTTGTGTTTGTAGTTCATATTCCAGTACCAAACCACTCAATGGGCGCTTTCGATTACACGTTTACACAATTCTGGAACTGTTTTTTTTTTAAATTCTGGAATGACCAGAATGAGTGGATTCCGGCCTTGTAAACGAACGACTGGAATTCACAACGCATTTTATTCATGTCATGTCACAAACAAAATTGATGAATCGTAAAAAGAGATCACGTACACCCTCGCGCGCACGTGGACCCAGCATCGCGCACACGCCGGCCAGGGAGGCTCTTCGCGCGCTTGAGTCATGACCAGACCGGTAACACACCGACTGTGCAATTCTGGCGCCAGAATTAGAGAAATTCCGCCCTCTCTTCAGAATTGACGGATTCGACGGAATTGGATCGAATCAATTTTAGCCCGTGCTTCACACAGCCGGACATGTCCATGCGCGTGCATGCGGACCCACACGCATGAACGAGCACACACAGAATGGTCTGGTTGAGTTAAATTGGATAGGTGGAGTGCTGGATTCGAACAACTGGTGCAATGTCACGTGACTCTGCAAATGAGTCGCAACGCGAAAAGACTCTGCTGAGTCGCGAACAGGCAATGACTCTGCAACTGAGTCGCAAGCAAGCAAACAGGGCAAACCAGTTGTGAGCGAACATCCGCACTCCCCAATGTTTTATTTTACTTGTATGGTTTTTTTTTCGTTTTTTTATTTAAAGAATTGAATATGGCAAGTTACAGCGGATGCAAGTGCAGACCACATAGGCTGCAGAGAATATAGCAACATGTTAACATAGAGCAACAGCTATAGGGTGGGTGTTGGTGGGGAAGAAAAAGCAAGGAGCAAAACTGTGAAAGCCAGGCAACAGCAGCGAACTCTACTTTCACAAAGGCAACACTCAAAGCAAGGCACGTGGGAAAAGTTTGGAGCGGAAGAAATACGAGGTGTGAGCTGCAACCTCTCTTGGCGCGGTTTCGGAGCTGCGCTGTAGATTACTGATTAGCTACGTGAATCTGCGTGATTGATTAGTGTAATTAAGCTGCCAGCTGGCAGGTGTTCATGCGGCGCTAACACGCTCTAGCCACTGGCTAGTGCGCCACTAACGACGGAATTTGTCACTTTTTGTGTAATCGAACTGTGCATCAACAATAACTCATTCTAGAATTGACCGAAATGCGTGTAATCGAAAGCGCCCAAAAGTATTGCTTGTGGTATCCTGTGCTCAGTGTGGTGGTCAGTATCCTGATCTTGTACGGTGTGCAGGTTTCACACAGGTCTACTTGCTGACTTTCCATTTTTCCAACCATGTCCTGAGCTATTCCAGAAAAAAAGTATAAACCAAAGCATGTTTCGGAGGCACCCCTCACCAGCTGAATTTCATTCATCTTGTTGAGTAGTGGTGTGTGTGTGTGTTTGTGTTCAGTAGTTGGCCTTAGTTGCTCATTGAAGGTGTTGGTTTGACCATGGCCAAGTATCTGCATGCACTACTAGTACTGTACTAGTATTTCTTTCTTGTGTGGCAGCCTTGTGTGGCAGTCTTTCTACTAATTCTTGAGTATGTGCATCATTATCAAATTGACAAATTCATTGCGTAACACCTGCTAGTGCAACTATCTGGTGTGCTTGCAAGCATGTGTCTGTGTGAACATGTGTCTATGCATTGGTGTATGGATGTATTGTTTGCATGTTAACTGTAGGTGTTTCGACAACCAATGGGAAATGAGATGAGAAGTGGTGATGACGAGATGGATCAAGTGGAAATTGACACTGATTCTGAGATTGGCATACCAGCCGGAGAGACACTGAGTGGACTGTGTAAGCATTCCTATACACACTGTTTAGTTCTAACAAACGAAATCAGATACACCATTTGACCATTTGACACCTATCGCGATGATCTCCGGCGATGATAGCGATGCTACAGCAGAAGCCATAGCAACTTGTGCTGGGATTGCACCATTCAACAGCTTGCAAGGCTGAAGAATTGATCGCCGCTATTCAGCCTGGTCTACGCCACACAGCTATGAAGTGGCTTTTTCAGGCCAGTGAATCCCTACTTTTTAACCTTTTTTTCATTTTTTTCCCGCACACACATCACACCACATACTCAGGCATGCACTGGCTGTTGGTAACCACCTAGGAGAATGAAAGAAAAGTCAGGAGGAGTCTGAAAAAGAGAAGAAAGACGTGTGTGACCATAATCGTTGGGAATCGAACCTGCAACCTCTGCAGATACACGCACACACATACACGTATGTGCGTACATACATACACACATGTGCACAGTATATTGCATATGAGCCGGAGCACGTGAATAGGGTGCTTAGGCGAGACCAAAAAAAATAGAGATTCCCGGGCCCTCCCGCACCAAAATCGAGCCGAAGGCAATTTTATTTTTATTTTTAGAACAGTCGTATTATGTACAGTACTGATCGTGCGAGTAGATCTGTGACATGGTGTCACACAAACCTGGGCTTGCACGACTCCCTGGTGTACGACTCAGGGCTGTCGTTGGCCGAAATACAAAAGAAATTGTACGGGTACCGGTAAACCACGTACCATATACCTGTAGTCTGTAAAAAAATATAAAAAAATACCGGAAAATACTGTAAAAAAAAGTTCAGCATGCCATGCATACACACGTAGGAAAAAAATAAAAACTCGCCCGCCCGCACCAATTTTAGATGGGTCCTGCCCGGGAATCTCGATTTTATTTTGGTCTCGCCTTAGCCTCAGATTTTGGAATTCGGTTTTTAGTGCATCATGTACCAGCAAGCTCCCAATAATAGCCAAGTTATTCATAAGTTGGAGGAAGTTGTAATGAGCAAAGTCTAAAGAAATATTGACTGCCACCACCAGGACTTGACTTAGAATCCCTCGCTTATGGCCAGTGACGCTCCAATTTCCAATTTCCAATTGCAAGTCCGCTTGAAATCTATAAACTAAGCACCCTTTTTTTTAATGAACCTTTTTATCTGCCGTTGAGTGGGGCCAGTACAATGTGTTTATTTTAGCATTCATCTCTTCTTTCTGCTTACCAGCATTTCAAGTTTTGGATGAAGGCGGCCGCAATGTTGAAGTTGTCCAGGCCCTGGCTTCGAAAATACAAGTGAGTGATTCTTTTTTTAAACAAACTCAAGAGACTTCAATTGTTTCATGCATTTATTTAACCCTTTGGCGTCCATGGTTCGATTTCAAACCATGGTCATTTTGTATGTATGTGGGCGCAGTCAAACTTTCGGTTCTCGACCAAATCTTGACCAAATTCAACAATCGAAGTGTCCAGATGGTAGAGAAACTCTCAGCTATCGCCTCGAACAGGTCCGAAGTCTCTCCGATGTGGTTTGAGTGAGCGGCGAGCGATCGAACATTTTGAATTTTCTGCGCTGCCTTCAGCAGTGCATGAAAAAAGGGATCTTCCCAGCTTCATGACAGGCGGCACGTGCCAGGACCGGCGCGGGGCGAAGTCACGGCAAGGTAGGTTTCTACTCGAACAAATTTGAACAGTTCCGAGCTAGATTCAGTGAAATGGCTACAGGAGACCGATTTCGTCTCAGATCCGGAGCTGGACTCGCGTTTGGAGCGCGTTGGGGCGGACAATGAGTAGTTTAAAGACTTAATCAGATGGAAACATATTAGCACACGAAGAGGCAAAGCCTGTTGTAAATCTGATGAGGCCTTTTGTACCCGTACTTCTCAAATCAGTGCAGTGCTGGTCTTCACCCTATTCAGGCCAGAGTGGTAGAAGACCAGCAGTGCAGCACTCAGGAAATGGACAGGAAAGCACGCGTACGGCGCCGTTGCCTTTGACGTCCAGCCATCAGTTGTGACAGCAACAGCCACAGCATCGTTGTGCAGCAGCTTCCACAATTCTTCCCATGCCTCTGCGTGTGTAGTACACAGAACAGACGTAACATCAGTGCGCGATGGAACAGTATATCCAGGTTCCACAAAGTTGAACAAACGCTTCTTGAGGCCCTGTAGTCTTGAAGAATCCCAAGTGGATGCATGTTCTCACTAACCCAATCGGCAATCCAGACCACAGTCTTTCGATCGCTTTAAAATAAACGACTCGATGGGCTTTGTCCCGGCCGATGTGGCAACAGAACTACTACTGCCAGTTTCACTTGACATTGCTTGCGTCTCGGAATGGACTCGTTTCAGGTGCTCCCTCTAATTTGTAGTTCCACCGTGGTGCGCATAGTCTTTCTTGCATAGCAAGCACTTCGCTGTGCCATCGCCACACGAGAAATGTGTCCAGATGCCAGGACAGTTTTCCATTGCTGTGATGAACACGGAGGGAAATAACCAACCTACTCGACAAAGAAGCACACAACCAGGGGCGTTAAATGTACTTGGTCCGCGTCAGCGATATTGTCGCTTATCTTTCAGCTTTGTTTATATGTTGCCAATGCTTACTTGGCAGCCCATTTCATCCCAATTTTGGTTAGCAAGTTAGTTTACTAGTACCTGAAAGATCTAGCTAGAGTTCGAGTGGATTTCGAGAGCGACGGGTGGGTGATTCTGATTGATACAGCGCCACATCAAAATAGATTATCTTGTTACGCTGTGCAGGCAAGAGCAGCGCAAGCCACAAGAAAGTAATCGGCTACTCGGAATCAGCTCCATTTTGCTGAACGACCGAGATCGCTCACCTCAGGGATCGCTCATCAAGCTGAGTTCGCAGCTCCCTTACCTCCAGCTCAACGCTCGGAGTATCCAGCGCGTCGTGGAGATTTGCAAGTACTGTACGCGTCGTCGTCGTCGTCGTTCAAAATAAAATCTTGCAAAGAACGGCGTCTGATTTGAACCACACAGGCAGTCGTGCTGCCCACGCGAAGTCCTATAGAGAAGGTGACCGTCACGGTCGACTTCTCTTTAGAAAATGGCCAGGCAGCGGAGAGGAAGAGAGATGAGCTTGCAAAAGCAAGAGAGTCGATCCCGAGCAAAAATATTTGTCACCAGCGCCGAGAGCAGCGACGAGGAGGACCGAAAAAAGTAGGAACCCTTCCTTCGACAATAAATTCCTCGCAGCTAAGTAGTTGTCATTCTATACCTTACCGTCCATCGTACCAAGTTTTATCACTTCAAGTGCACGCGTTCATGTCCAAAGTCTAAGTTCAAATTGTCGAAAGATAAGCGACAATATTGCTGACGCGGATCAAGTATTGCGGATCTGCAAACTTGGTATGTAACCACCTTTCCGCTCATTTGGGACACCACCATCCCATGATCACTTGTCAGATGCAGCTTCAAAGTGGTGGAAAGGATAGATCAGATCCACCCATCAGAGGCCAAACCGAAATTCTATTTGCTGCATATTTTTTAGGAAAAGTACATATCCGTCAAGAGTGTGCAACTACAGCTAGGCTATGGGGTCTGTGATGGCCGCATTTTACGTTACGTAACAAACCGCTGCACCCTGTGAATGATACCTGCAGGTTGGGCACAGCCCCTGCAGCTCCCTGGTGATCACTTTGCATTGTTTCCTTGCATAGACATGAACCATATCACATGATGTGAAACTCTGCCGTTGCTGCACTGATAGAGAAAGTGTAAGCAGTTCCACACTCTTGGTGGTCATCACTTTTGATATTACCCTTGCACCAGGCCACAAGTTCTTTGTGGGTCCCAGCAAGGTTTGAAGAATGAATTCACTTCCAAGAATAACTTGATACTGTTACCTCTTGTTTCTCAATCATGCTTGTCGTTGCTTTTGTGTTGCAGGTCAACTGGGTTGCCAAACCCAATGTGGAGCTGCTGAAGGCTGGGAAGTTGCCTGATATCAAGGTATATTTAGGACATGTATTGTACTACGTCGGATCTACTTTTTCAATTCACTATGCATGTACTCACATAGTTACTAACTTGACTTTTGTGTAGTGGGCTAAAGTGGGTTATTTCGTAGGTATGATAATGAGAAATGAATTAGCAAGATTTGTATGATGCAAACACACAATGATGAAACGGCAGTGTCTCCTCTGATTTTACGATTAGGTGATCTCATGTTTCAATGTTTCGGATATGGAGCTGCAGGAAGTGTCCAAACGGATTGTGGTTTGGGTGGACTCACCAATATTGCGTACCATGATACATATTTTTATGTTGTCTTCATGCATGCACTGTACTCAGGCGCCGAGCACTGTTGGTGAGGTCAAGTTCTGCCAGGTTTCCTTGTCGGGCCAGTCACCACTATCCTTCTCCTTTTCCGTAGAGTAAGTCAGCTCACACATGTTTTCCTGTCGTATTGACGAGAGCCTTCGTTTCCTTTTTGGTGTCTTTATTGCCCTATGTGTTTGTGAATCTCAATTTTGACATATTACCCTATGTGTTTATGCGCGTACAGTTGGGTAGAATCCCATGTCAGCTGTTTAATGATTTTCTTGCTGTATGAAACTCGGAGTTACAACGAACATTAACGTCCTATGCTGAGTCTTCTATGTTCTAAACTCAGATATGACATTGAGCATTCTCTGCAGCCCCGAAATCAACAGATTTGTGTCTATGCAACATTGTTGAGTGTGGAGGATTTGATAAACTGCTGATGCTGAATCTCAATGAATGGATCTCAGTTTTCACTTCCCATGTGACCTTTAGCGTGCTTTGAGCATATCTTCTTATTAACCCCATCCCCTGAACTGGTGGTGCATTGTTTCTCTTTGTTCCACTCTACACAGCCCGCTACCTGGCCCTGCAGAGGTGCTCAAGTGTATATCAAGTAACAATGTAGTGAGAATTGAATCACCTACAACAACACCGCTCATCATCACTCTTCATGACAAACAAGGAAACCAGCTGAAAAAGGTAAAGTAATTGATACAGTTTAACATCACTTAACCACACCTGTCTTCTTTTCACTAGAATGTGCAGGTAGGCAGGGAGGCAAGGGAAGCAGATAGCTGAGAGCATGTCACTCTGTACTGCTCATTGGTTTCTGTGGGTATGCTCCAACGGATACAAATGTACTGGATATCCGCTGTGTGACTTTATAATCCAAGTTGTATTTGGCTGCTTTTGCCTGGGGATTGCCTATACAGTCAGACCTCGCTTATCCGGTTCTCTTTTATCCGGATCCCTCGCCATCCGGAAGAAAATCGTTGATTACTGATTTACAGCATATGCCATGCATCCATACTGTATGTGTGTTCGATTATCCGGTTCCCTCGCCTATCCGGATACTATTGTCGGATAATTATGATACTGTAAAATTTGGACCTGCTATTTCTATTGTCGGGCTGTCAGCACGCTGTCCTTCGCTGCACTTGGCACAAAAACGTATTTGGAACACGTGTGAATTTCGCCGTCGGAATCCCCATATGCAGAGTTGTACACTCTTGAGGTCTAATTTCCTCTTGCTGTTCTGGTACCTAGTACCAAGAGTACATAACCCCCTAGAGTGTGCAACGCCTGATCCAGCTCTGCATAGGGTCTTGGTCGAGCGGAATCGGATCTTTGCGTCATAATACCATACACATCTGAGGGGAACCCGGGGAGTCGCGGGTACTCTTGGATCAAAAACAATGGTGCCCTGCCTCGAGACCGGCCTTGCGCTGGTGTGAAGTGTACGCATGACATCAGAAGATCCGATTCCGCTCGACCAAGACCCTACACAGAGCTGGATCGGCGTTGCACACTCTGGGGGGTTATGTACTCTTGCTAGTACCTACCCTATATTAGCCTACTATATGCGGACTCTATTTTGTGTACGGACTGTACAACTCTATTGGAGCTTGGCAAGATTTCAGCTGATCGAATGTCATTCATTTCTAGGTTGTTTTCCAAGGGTTTGGTCAATGAGAAACTCTCAACTGTCCATTGCAATAATCACCGAAGCCTTCTGATGCAAGTGCGGTTCCAAAGTTACAATAGGGAGGTTTCGCTCTACGTAATTACGTATGAAAATCCGTATGTCGTACGAGCCGGGGAGCGAGGGCAGCTTTCATACGTAAATCTCTCTACGGATTTCCGTAGGAAAGCTCTTTCCTACGTTGGGTCCTCCGTATCACTTTTTGAAATATTTGTTCGCATTTTCCGCATTTGTCCATGGCAACGTTCAAGCCGCGCGAAACACAAGGTACACACACCGTACACCACGAGCAAAATAAGATGGAAAACGCGGTTTCGGTTCATGGTGCATGCGGTGCACCGGTGGGCGCATGAAGCCAACGCGTCTCCAAAGCAACAACGCATGTTTAGCAGTCGTGGAGAAATCACGTAGAGCGAAACCCAACAGTTCTGTTTTTTACGTATGAAAATTCCGTGCAGTTCCTACGTTATTTTCATACGTAATTCCGTAGAGCGAAACCTCCCTAATATTTGAAGTTGGTCAAGTCTCGGTATTTGTCACTCCTTACCCGCAAGCGCAGCTTTGAATGACATAATTCCCCGTGTTCCTGGGCATACAGTGTTGTGAGTACTGATTTGAATATGTTGCACACACTCGTCATCTTCTGTTCTTTGCTGCTTGCAGATCAGTCCGTCGCTGCTGTCCAGTGTAACTATTACTGGTGCCAAGCTTAGGTCTCATGATCCTCCAGAGATAACTGTGAGTTGCCAAGCAGTATGTTACTTTGACCTGGTGTAGTGCTGCACATAATATATGTTTTCTTCTTGGCCTGCTGATGGCTGAACTCTTGTCGTGTCTGCATGAGGAAGGAGAAGCAAGCTGGAAAATTCTACCGGAGAAGAAAATCTAAAATGTCTACATGTACTTGTACTTGTGCTGCCTTGGTGCAAGCCGTATTGTCACTTGTATCAGACTTATGACCGGGGACATGCTCTGCCAGTGGCGTGCTCCAGTCACTTATTGGCTTAGGAGCTGTGCAAGGGAAATCGTACTCCATGGCTTAAGATGGTTATGTCATTCTATATGCTGCCTCTGTTACTCTGTCTTTCAAGGATGAGTGTATCAAAATTCGGAACATTGTCTTCGACGTGCAGAAGCTTGCTGTTGAGGATGTGGTGGTAAAGATTGGTGAAATGTCGGCAACCTACTCATTTCAGGTGAGTGTTTGAGAACACTTGACTATGCACTAGAGTTCCAGTCTGAGCTGATATGCTGGCAAACGCCCCCTCCTCATCTATATTGGCACTGATTCATCTCTAGCCACTGGAAAATAATAATAATAATAATAATATTGAAGCCTGGCTCTTGGCAACCTGGGGCTTTCTGCACTATGGCATGTTTTCCCTGTGTGTGTTGTCGTGGGAATTACTTCATGACATGCTGATCTACAGCCATGAGTCGTGGACTATGTTCAGAAAAAGTAGACCATTTTCCGTGCGTATCTATGACGCCTCTTATGCGTCTAGCAGTGCTATACAGCGAATTGTGTTTGACTTTAAAGTGATGAATGCCTCTTTCTCTGAGGTATTTGCACAGTGTTGGTGATGCTGTCTGTGTGGTGGTGTGTGTGTGTGTGTGTGTGTGTGTGTGTGTGTGTGTGTGTGTGTGTGTGTGTGTGTGTGTGTGTGTGTGTGTGTGTGTGTGTGTGTGTGTGTGTGTGTGTGTGTGTGTGTGTGTGTGTGTGTGTGTGTGTGTTAACCTGTTAACCTGTTAACCATGGACTGCTTCTGGCTAGATTAACTCTTGTGTAATCAATGGTGCTAGTGAAGCTTATATCAGATCCACTCTGATTTAGCCACCCACACTAGTACCAAGTATTACCTTCACTGGGGGCAGGGGTACCTGCAGTTGGATCCCGGGACGGATACCCTGATGCCGTCAATCCTTTTCTGCACCTTGTCCTCACCCACTTACTGAGGTGTGGTGAGCCCATAAGTGGGATCATTTCAAGTCCACCCTAGTTTGGGGATTTCAGGGGGTGTCAGCCGTTGGGTGGTTCAATGGCCAATTGAGTCATCTTTCCAAGATTCCTTTTGAGTCTCTCTCCCCTCTCCCGGGGAGACCCACGTGACCAGTTTTGGCAGTGAGCAAGTACAAGTACAAGTGTGTGTGTGTGTGTGTGTGTGTGTGTGTGTGTGTGTGTGTGTGTGTGTGTGTGTTTGTGTAACTATGTTGGTGATGCTGTCCATGTTCAATTGTTGTGTGTGTAACAACAGGTCATGCCTGGAAAGCCTTCTCAAGTCAGAATTGTAGACTGTCAGCCTGAGGAGGTGAGGACTCTGCATACCAGTATATTGTGTACTGTATTTGCTGTGCCCACGTGTGTGTGTGTGTTTGTGTGTGTGTGTGTGTGTGTGCGTGTGTGTGTGTGTGTTTGGCTCACTTCTCACACGTCGCCCAGCACATGGCCCTCGCAAGCGCTGGAAGGATTGCGTTGTCTCCGACTTAAGAGTTCGTGGCCTCACCAAGGAATGGTACCCTCTCGCCTGTGAGTCCCGTGCTGACTGGCGGACTATGTACGCCGAGCCTGTGGAGAATGTGCCTCAGCCTGACCCAGTGATATGTGCGGATTGCAATCGGTCATTCTCGCGCCCTGGAGATCGTGCTCGCCACAAATGTGTGGTTGAGCGGGCAAAGCCGATTGCTGAGCAGCGAGGGGCTTGCCACTGTGGAGATTGTGGGCGTTGGTTTCGCAGCAAGGGTGGTCTAGCTGTTCACCGCTGTTCCGCACCTCAGCCTCAGCCTCCCGAGCCCCGGCAAGTCTATGTGCAGGATGCCTGCTGTGCTGCGCACTGTGCTGTGTGTGCCCGCTGCTTTCGGTCTGTGCAAGGCCGCGGTCGTCACCGGTGCTCGAGGACTGGCCCGCGCCCGACTGCCCAGCAGCGTAATTCGTTCAGCCATGTATGCGTGTGTTCTCGCCGGTTCCGTTTGCCCCACCATCTCCGGCGTCATCAGGCTGCGTGCTCCATCTTCCTCTCTGATGCCCCTCCGGGGCCCACGTGACCCCTGTGACAGTGGCTCTACAGGACAGGACAGGTGTGTGTGTGTGTGTGTGTGTGTGTGTGTGTGTGTGTGTGTGTGTGTGTGTGTGTGTGTGTGTGTGTGTATGCATGTATGGTGTACCAGGGTTCTAGCCAGGTCAAAATAGTAGGGGGGGGGGGGGGGGGGCATGGGAAACAGTTACCCTATATCCCATTTTTCCACTTTCCAATATTGTCTTGCCACGCCAAATGCAACATATGGGGCGAATCCCTGACTTCACCCCAGACAAATGTGCCTTTATGAACCATCTATGCATGAAAAACACGAAAATTGGAAAATGAGTAGGGGGCGGCAATTTTTCACAGGGGGGCGCGCAAACAGAGTAGGGGGGGGGGGGGCGCTGCGCCCCCCCCCCCCCCTTTGGCTAGAACCCTGATGTATGTGTGTGTGTGTGCACGCGTGTATGTGCGTGCATCCACATGTATGCGAGTATATGTATGGGTGCGTGTGCGAGGTAGTTCGGCTGGTAGGGGCGATTATGCCAGATCTTCATGTCTTTCATGAACACCTTCTTAAGAGGGGGGGGGGGGGGGAGGGAGGGTATATGAGGGACTGCTATTCATATGTAACTGTATTACTGCTCGGCTATCAAGAGTTGAGGACCCCAGTAGCTACAGTACAGTACATGTGGAGGGTATCACATTGGAATTCCTTTTTTCCCATAAGAATACAGTATGTGCAGCCCACTGCCGGTGCTCACCGATGGGTTGCTCAATTGATGAAATTTCTACCCTAGTGCAATCACTGCAGTGTGTACCTGCTGCATGCAACAGCTGCAATTTTGCACCTGCTGCACATTTTCTAGAATGCAACAAACTTGCTACCTGCTATTTTTTTCTCTTTCTTTTTGGCCTCGTTTGTTGGATATAAAAAGAAGCTGTCCAGTTTATTCACTTGCCTCTGAAGATGTACTCTCAGAAGAGTGAAGTCGGTCAGGAATAAAAGAAGTATTTCAAGTTATTCAGAAAAGTGTTATGTGGTCATGTAGGGCAATCTATTCAAGCTCTCAGCTGAATTTGTCCTTGGGTTGCTTCTCTTCTTATTTTATTTGTCAGGTATCGGGTAATAGTCTATCTGATAATAAATAAATCCCAGCCCATGGCGACCATGTTTTCTCATGCCATAACCACTGCCCTGCTTTTTTTTGTGACTTTTGCTTTTATACAGGTGTTCACTATCTATAATGATGGGCGTCTACCCATACCGCTCAAAGTGCAGCTGTATGATGATTACGGTAATCCAAGTGGCCTGGAAGGTGTTAGGATGCAGCTAGGGAAGAGCGGTGGGCTCAAGGTAAGCTGCTGAAACTCATTCTGGGTGATCATGCTGCTGCTGCTGCTGCTGGATATCCCAACTTGAAGCTTGCAACTGGCTGAATATTGCCGCTGTCACTATTAATTTTGTCTGTGTATATGTGTGTGTATGTGTGTGTGTGTCGATTCTCCGATCCTTCTCCTGCTCTCCTGCATATGTGTGTGCGTGTGTGATGCATTGGACATGTCCAGTTGTCTCCACCGACGCAACATCAACGTACAGATGGTAATGGCCAAGTTAACTTCGGATTTACTTCCGTCAGAGCTGAACGGTATGTGCTGCAACTATAGTGCTGAACTGAAGACGCAGTGGTCGTGTTTTGGGGCTGTGTTATCTTGCTTCTCTTTGCTCGCTTTCTATTTGTGTCTGTTTGTGTCAGTGTGCCTGGTGTTGTGCAACTGCTACCACTGTGCATGGGTGTTGTTGTTCCTGGTCTACTGATTTGGAGAGTCGCACATGACTGTTTCCTGCGGGATGCTCTAACGCATTTTTCTGTTTTTGAGGAGATGTACATGTAGTTTGTTGTTACATGTAGCCAATCAGCTCCACGTCTAGCTGGCTTAGTATGTTTTTTTTGTTTTGTTTTTGTTCATGTCTTGTTGTTTTCTCGTGTTAGCGGTGACTATTTCATTACGCCCCGTGCCATCTACGGTCAGACCACTATTGTCGGCGCTAGCCTACGCATCTGGTGAGTGAGCGTTTCTATGTAGCCTGTCTTTGTCTTGCAAAGTAGTAGGGTGCCTCTCATGATTGAGTCTGGATATGGTACTGGTTCATGATCGAGTCTGGATAGGGAAGGGGCTCATGATAGAGTCTGGATTGGGAAGTGGCTCATGAGGGGGGTGTCTGGATTGGGAACTGGCTTGTGATGGGGTCTGGATTTGGAACTGGCTCATGATGGGGTCTGGATTTGGAACTGGCTCATGATACCACTCGTTCTGAACCTACTACAATCACTACTTACCCAGATACCTGCCCAAATCCACCCACTCTGTAAAAATTACTCCGAAAACCAAATCTACCAGTTCCCTGACATGCCAACAGTCCCGAACCCACCCTTACCATTCGTGTGTGTGTGTGTGCGCGCGCGCGCGTGCGTGCGTGCCTGTGTGTGCATTCTGTGCGTATTTCTCTCTGCTGTTCTGTAGTGTTGAGCCTGACCCAAGTCGAGTGGTGGCTGTAGAAGTCACACCTGCTGGCAGTCAGCAATGTACTGTTGCACAGAACCTGCCTGGTATGTACCCATGCTAATTGTGCATCAGTGTCTTGTAATGGCGTTGTGGGTGCTGCTTCTCTCTTCCACTTTTATTTATCAATTGCCTTTTCTTGCCATCATCACCTCTAAACTAAAACATTTTTAGGCCATGGTCTTGACTCTTTTCACCACTCAAACTACAATTTGCTAAGCAAGATTGAACAAACTACACTTTCCAAGCCAAGATTGAAACCTTGGAATCATACCACCCATATGACATCACCTCCATTGTCTTTTTGATTGTTTGTCATGCAGAATTGAGCTGTGTTGTGATGGCGGAAGATGGTCATCCATTTGCTGGTGCGCTGCCTTCTCATGTCAAGATGGAATTGCTTCGCGGTGGCAGTGTGGTAAGCGTGCCACCATGTTGTCTTCAGCTTTCTCTGAGAGTCAATGACTACTGTGCATCCTCTTTCTTTACTAAGGGCATATGTTGCTACAATGTAGAGCAGAACAAAATTCGACTTTTGCCGTGGCTGAAATATCGAACGTGATGTCTTTGGAATGCGACACCGCAGCTCTTCGCCGATTGATGCATTGGAAAGCTGAGCTCTTCGGCTTCTTCCTAGATACTTAGTTTTTTTAAATTCCGCCAAGAATCGATCGAGTTATGGATGTTTTAGTGCATGCATGTCCATCAATCTCTAGAGATCGATTCAAGTACGCACAGATGGTAAAGGGTTAATCACTTTGAATCTCTACTGGAGGCTTATAATCGTTGCAGAAATATTCACCGCACAACCTTCTCCAGTCCTTGGCTGCACCAGCTCGAATATGTATCTTCCGAATTATCACCAATCATCCCTGGACTGGTGTAAGCAAGGACTGGAGAAAGTTGTGCGGTGAATATTTCTGCAACGATGCAGATGTAATACCTTTTTTCTCTCGCTTCCTCTACAGCTCTACCTCTTTATCTTTCTCCGCCGTGTGCACGCGCACACACACACACACACACACACACACACACACATCTACTAACTTTAAGTGACGGAGACACACTCCTCAGAACTGCAGAGCCCAGAGTCACACATGTATTTTGTGTTTTGCCGGTGTCTAGGTTTCCACGTACAGCCCGTCAACACCTGGTAGTGATACTGAAGGTGGCCGGTTTCCATTCAGGTCAGGCTTATGTCCATTGTGTCTCTTTGTTGCTTAATTTCCTCTTTGCTGCATTCCAATGTGAGACCTAGCCCTAGCCCGGGAAAGGCATGATTTTCCGCACAATGACCTCTCCTCACCTCATCTAGCTTGCAGGTTGCTGTGTGCTCCATTCTCATAAATCAGTTCTCTCCCTCCTCTCTTTAGCAAATACTTTAAAATCCCTAGTGTTACAGTGGCAGAGTTTCACACCATGTGGCAGGGTTCAATCGGTTACGTGAGCAGCAGTAGCAGTTGACCACCAGAGCGGTTACCCCAAGCAGGGTTATACAGTGTCTGGCACAGCCCCGTACCTACGATGTACCGGGTGCAAGCCATGCGTACGGGTTTGCCTCGTGATGTGATAATCTGCCAGCGCAGACCCCGAATTGGCCATAGACTGCAGTTACACTCCCTTGTGGGTTATATACATATACTCAAGTCTCTTGCCAATATGCCTCTGGTGAAGATTACCAAGTGCACGCTTCAGTACTTGGCGCTGCTACTTTTACTTCAAGTAGTTACACAATTGACCCGCCCTTTGGTGGGTGAATGACTTTTCAATCTCTCTGGTGTTCAATCTCTCTGGTGTTCAATCTCTCTGGTGTTCAATCTCTCTGGTGTTCAATCTCTCTGGTGTCCAATCTCTCTGGTGTCCAATCTCTCTGGTGTTCAAAATCTTTGGTGTTCTATCTCTCTGGTGGATGAAGGGCTGTTCCCTCTTTTTGTTGGGAGAATGATTGTGCAGTGGAAACATTGTGGAGCATTTGAATGGTTTGTTGTGTGTATGGTGCTCTGTGTGTCTGTACTAGTGGTCATGATGCACCAGTCAATTCCGGCACACTGCAGGCTAGGTTCAAGTACTGTGACGGATCGGTTACTCTACAGAGTCGTACAGTAAGTGCATTGGTGCATTGGTGTGCAGTGCAGTGAACAGAATGCACCTGCCTTTCTACGAGTACATGATCTACGCTATCAACTGCTCATGTCCAGTTTGCTGGCATCATTCACAGTCCTCCAGCTCTTATCCAGTAAATCCTGGTGTGTGTGTGGGGGGGGGGGGGGGGGGGGGGGCATGCAGTGTTCTGTCACTGTGTCACGTAGCTTTTCTCAGAAGCTCGTCCTCTACAGTTATAGAGAAATGAGCGTGTTTGTCTAGTGTAAGTCTCCTATGACCGTTGGCGTGCTGTTCTTGTTGTTCATGTTTAGGTTGATATTGAAGTAAGCCCTGGTCCGCCTTGTCGCCTCGTGTCCGACTGTGTCCCATCCGCTGTTGCTGTATCGAATGGTGCTGTGATCAACCAGCGCAAGATTGTCGAACGTCTAGAACTGCGCATCAAGGTATAAGTAGTTAGGATGATGTGTGTGTGTGTGTGTGTGTGTGTGTGTGTGTGTGTGTGTGTGTGTGTGTGTGTGTGTGTGTGTGTGTGTGTGTGTGTGCGTGTGCGTGTGCGTGTGTTGGAAAGTATTTCAGAAGCGTCCACTTTAGTAGTCCCATGCTGTTATACATGTGTGTCTTGTTGGAAGAGGACTTTATTAAATCCTCGAAGACTATGTTCATAATGTTTGACGCTACTGGTGTTTCTCCATTCTTGCACTGAATGGGAAGGCTCCTTTGCTTGCATCACGCTGACTACTCTAAGACTATGGCGAAGTTTCTCAATCACCAGTTCCTGAAGACAACTTTAAAATACCATCTGAAGGCGTTTGTGTGTACTTGTATGTTTGCCTGCATGGATATTGAGGTGTATATGTTTGCTTGGTGTGTATTTACACTTGGTGATAACTGTACTGTGCAGGATGAACATGGTAACAACTGTATCGATGACTCTCTCAGTGGAACAGTCCATGTAACACTACAAGCAGATAGTGGTGGAACAGATGCTCGCAATGTTGCTAACATTCCTACCTTTGATGGTGGCAGTAGAATGCTTTCCTTCCCGCTGGCTGCTGGTAAGGGTGTAGTATCTACTTACTGTGTCGGACATTGCTTCCTTGTCTGTGCTTCTTATACATGTACCCTGCTGTCTTGCCACGTAACCTTTAATACTCCATATGTGCTGAATGGACAAATACAACATGTGCTGAATGGAAGTACGAGCAGTTTCATTCATCACCTTCTGTGCTTGGTCCTTCCGTCAATCAAGAAGTTAAACATTGTCTGTGTTTGTATACGCATGTGTGTGTGTGTATGTGTGTGTGTGTGTGTGTGTGTGTGTGTGTGTGTGTGTGTGTGTGTGTGTGTGTGTGTGTGTGTGTGTGTGTGTGTGTGTGTGTGTGTGTGTGTGTGTGTGTGTGTGTGTGTGTGTGTGTGTGTGTGTGTGTGTGTGTGTGTGTGTGTGTGTGTGTGTGTGTGTGTGTGTGTGTGTGTGTGTGTGTGTGTGTGTGTGTGTGTGTGTGTGTGTGTGTGTGTGTGTGTGTGTGTGTGTGTGTGTGTGTGTGTGTGTGTGTGTGTGTGTGTGTGTGTGTGTGTGTGTGTGTGTGTGTGTGTGTGTGTGTGTGTGTGTGTGTGTGTGTGTGTGTGTGTGTGTGTGTGTGTGTGTGTGTGTGTGTGTGTGTGTGTGTGTGTGTGTGTGTGTGTGTGTGTGTGTGTGTGTGTGTGTGTGTGTGTGTGTGTGTGTGTGTGTGTGTGTGTGTGTGTGTGTGTGTGTGTGTGCACGTGTGCACGTGTATGCACGTGTATGCACATGTGTGCACGTGTATGCACGTGTGTGTGTGTGTGCATGCACACCTGACTGTGCATGTGTGTTACTGTGTGCCTATATTGTGTATTTATTCAGGCTCGTGTGTCATTCAGCGTCTTCTTGTGGCACAGGATTGCCCAGGAGTGGATGGTCACCAGTACACAGCCTACTTCACTGTGGAGTCTCCACACTTTGAGAGCAACCAACTCTCCGTACAGCCTTTCCTTATCTCCTTCATGTTCTGTAACGGTACGCCTCTCACATCAACTAAACATACACAATTATTTACTTTATTCTCTCGTATTTCCTGTGTATGAATCATCCGCAGTGCTGCCAAATCATCAGCAGTGCTGCCAAATTGTCCCATGTATTGAACACTGTATGAAATTGACGCTCCTTCCCAACTGATCTGAAAAGAACCTTACTTTTTTGGACAGAAACCTCAAGGATTGTACTGCATGCATGAGTAACTCCAGCTCTCTACGCTGCACTGTGCCCACCAGCCCCTCTTGCACAAGTCTACCCTAGTGGCTAGTAAGAGCCCTGCGCATGTTGAATTCTTGCATAATTCTACCCTAGTGGCTAGTGGGCTAAGAGCCGTGTTCATCTTGAACCAGTGCATAGCTGAGTCAACAACTTCGCTTATGCCAAATGGCGTGTGTGAGAGAAGACAGCGGGTAGGCAACCGTTTGAAAAAAATACGATGCACAATACAGGTCCTCCCTCGTTAGTAGATAATCTCTGGGCCATCGAAAAAGTTATCTTATAACGAGACTTATCTAGTAACAGGACTTGCAGCTTACGGTAAAATAGGCACTAATTCGTACTTACCGGGGCTACCCTCGATACAACATAAATTATTGATGCTTCAACTCGGTAAAAGATAATTGAAAATCTCCAACATAACTCTTCCTTGGATCCAAAGGATCGTCCATATTCACGAATACATAGACATAATACGTTTCGTCTTTCTGCTTTATCCTACGTGTTTTGGCCTTGGTCCTGCATGGTCAATACTATCTTATAATGAGGGGTTGGCACTCCAGGGAACTGGGCAAAGGGTCGTTATAACGGATTTTATGTACTAACGGATTATGTTGTAACCGCACCTGTAAACAGTTGTATAGACCACGTTTCGCCAGTGGATTTCAGATTTCTATTTACTAACGGGTAGGGGTGAAACAATTATACCGAATATTCGAATACTCGTTTGGATTTTTCAAATATAATCGTACTCGGAATATATCAGAGTACTCGCTCATACATGGTATATGCATTACCATAGAAGTCTGCAGTTTCAGAGCAGCAGTCAGCATATTATATTGATGTGCAGACTGTGTGGTGAACATTTGTACACGAGTAGAGAGAGCCCAAATGACCCACCAACCAATACACTCGAGAAAAGGACTGCCAATCGGTTCAATCAGGGTTGTGTCATGTGATTTTTAAGGCCCTTGGGGTGCGATTTTTAGGATATCAAGAATACTCGAATACTCGAATATTCGATCGGAGAAAATCAGAGTACTCGAACTCGGGATCTCAGTGCCAACTTTCACCCCTACTAACGGGGTTTATGTACTAACCGGACTCGTTATAACGAGGGAGGACCTATACACGGTGAAAAGCCGCACATGGTTGTTTCAGGATGGAGTTACCAATTTTAAATCACGAAGCTGGTATCTTTATGTTTTATCTTCCTTGTTTATTGCTGCTACTCTTGGTCTCTGCTATTTACATTAGCGAAAGGAAGCTACTTGGGATGGGCACTGCTTAATGTTACCGACGTCACCAATCAGGTGTTGATGTTCTGTTGCCTTGGCATCGAATGATGTGCACATCTGTTCTCGACCTTGTGCATGAGAGCTAAACACACTCTAATTTTTTACTGACGATGCCAGGGGCACGATGCACAGCAGTCTTCAACCCTTTTTCCTTCCCTCACCAAGCATTTGCTTGTGTGTTCCATGTGTACTTTCATGTGTACCCACTGTGTGCGTGTGTGTGCGTGCGTGTGCATGTGCTTGCGTGTGGGCGTGTGTGTGTGGGTGTGCGGGCGCCGGCGTGTGCATGTGCATGTGGGTGTACGTTTGTGTTCTTTGTTTGAAACAGATGGTCATAAGCAGCGACAGTTATCTAGCCTCACCACTGACAAAGACAAACTGCAGTCTTCTATTGAAGACCTCAAGCAGTTCTTTGCTAAACATGAGCAGGAACTGAAGACATTGAGGGGTGCGTTGCTCTTGCTGGATGTCTCGTGTCTTTCAAATGCAATCAAATTTATAGCCTGGTCTTTGGTCCAGCTCGTTGTCTCTCTCTCTCTCTCACCCCTGGTGTGGTGTCTTCCCTTGGCATAAGCCGTTGTGCCAACTTTCTCTAGTAGCACAATTTTACTTTGCCTTGCTATGTATTTCACCGTACTGTCCAAGGTATTTCTGTGTGCAATGCAGATCTAAAGGATGATGAAGCCTTCTGTGACACACACACACACACACACACACACACACACACACACACACACACACACACACACACACACACACACAAACACACAAACACACACACACACGCAGAGCCATATTTTGATTTGAGCAATAGGTTTTGTGGCTGCGACCAACAATACCCCTATTTGTATATGACTGTTACCCTTATGGTGATATGGTATGTGTTGTATGTTCAGGTGCTCTCAATGAGCAAGAGCACGGCTTGAACAGATTGAAGTTGTCACTGACTGCCGGTGGGTTCACCAACACACAGGTCTCCGCCATGACTCAGAATGTAAGATCTATGCACCAACATGCCAGCTTGTAGTGCCCATCTGTGTACTACTGTATTCTTCGTGGCACTTCCTCTACCCTTGCTTTTAGTTCATGTTTGTGTATCCATTGTGTGGACCAAGCTGAGTCTAGTCACCTATCATACATAGTCTAAAAGGTCTCCACTTGTTTTGTCCTATCAGTGCTGCTGGCGCCGCTGCTGCTGCTGCTGTGTGTGCCTGCATGTTTTTTTCCTTGGATGAGTGTGTGCACATGGTAGTAATACAAGTAATGTGTGTGTGTGTGTGTGTGTGTGTGTGTGTGTGTGTATGCGTGCGTGTGTATGTGTGTGCATGCATGCATACGCATGTTTGTGTTTTCAGCCAATGTTAGCACAGCATCAAGTCGACAGTTATCGCAAAGAGTATCAGCTGCTAGAGTCAGCACCACGACGAAGATGTCTTCTGGAGAATGTGCCACCTCACTACACGAATGACCGTGATGTCATTGGCAAGGTACTCTCAATCACTAACTCTTTTACTAGCACTCACTGGCCGTTTTACTCCCTCATTGACCCTGCGTATGCCGGTACAGTGGTTTTATATTGTGTTTCAAGAACCTCTTGTCATGTCCGGAGAACATTATAGTCTCGGATACGTTTGTGTGCGTGTGCATGCGTGCATATGTGTGTGTGCGTGCGTGTGTGTGTGTGCGCGTGTGTGCTTGTGTGTGCGTGTGTGCATGTGTGTGTGTGGCTGCATTCATGTGTACATGCATGTGTGCTCCGGATTCAGGTTGCACACTTGGCTCTGGTTGAAGATGATGATGTGGCACGTGTGCTGTCCTGGCATATGGGTAACGACATGGACTGTTGTATTACCTCCACGACTGAGAAGGTATGACGTGTCATTGCATGTTCAACTGGCTTTCCATGAACTACATGTACATGTGCTAAACTGGACATACCAACACAAAATCTATACAGAAGTTGTCGCTATGCTTCAGATGTTTGCACCAATCTGTCTGCTCCTGCTCTCTTGCTCTCTTGCCTATGTTTGGGCAATTATCGTCATTGCCTTCATGATTGCTATCATGAATGGTGGTTGTAAATGGAATCCTGTTCTTCTATTCTCTTGCCGTCGTCATTGTTGTAGGCTATGAGTGTTAATGAACAGTGCGGAGGTCGCCAGCAAATGCTTGCTCTTGACTCCATCTACAAGAAAGCTCTGCCCCAATGGGATAAGTAAGTGGTGGCATTGTACTCTGACGCTGGATACTATCTGTGATGGTGACCAGAGGTGTGCAAACATTTGTGCGCGTGTGCGTGCTTGCGTGTGTGCGTGCGTTCGTGCATGCGTGCATGTGGGTGTTACCAAGAATGTAAGTTGTGCAATGTGCGGAAGTAGTAAATATCTGCGAACTGCGCTCATGCTTCAGCATAGCAGCAGATACGGCGTTTGTGCACCTATTGAATTTGCTGGGTTCGTCTGTATTTGTAACCAAGCTGTTTACTGGCCATTCTCTTTGATGTTTCTACAGGCCTCTACCTCACGCGAAGGTCTTGCGCAATGAGCCACGTGGTAATCCACAGTATGTTAAACATTACTTGAAGTTCACGGGCCGGGAAGAGGAGTGTCGACAGGGTGAGTTCATCAAGTAGTACCTTGACCTATGTGTGGCCTAACAGAGAATGTCATGAGCCAGCTAAGCAGTTCATTGAACACTGAATAATGTACATGTACATCAGTGTAACGGCCAGGATCCTTGCCCAACTGAATAAGAACCCTGTGTCGCCCAACATGGTGTTCTGGCGAGCTTCAATTTGGGTTTGTGCTGGAAACCAACTGATGGTAGTCCAGCTCAATCACCGATATCCTATCAGTTGAGTCGGTGTTGGTTACCTCCATGTCTATTCTATTTCTATCGTATTTCTGTTTTACATGTACTTGTGCTCTGCTGTGCTGTGCTGTGTTGTGTTGTTGTGTACCAGTGTTTGGTCTGCTTCTTGGCGAGGTCATCTTGCTGGACACACTGGCTGATGCCGCACACTATCGCCAGCAACTTGCTAACTACACTCGTTGCCCTACTCTGCTGACTAGAGATGGTGACCGTATCCGTAGCACGGGTAAGTCGACACACCCGCCATTACTATGCTATATGTGAGCCTTGTTTGATAGTTTAACATGTTGGACAGTCTAAACCGGGGCCAAACTCAGGCCAGGTTCAGATGGTCGCAAGACCGGGGCTCTGCCAACTGCTTTATGGTTGTAGTTAGGAGCACTGTTTTCGACACAATGCCCCCTCCCCCTTGTAACATGCTGTCAACCGTCCAACATCACCGTTACTACTGCACCTACTTTCATTGGGTGAATGGCATGCCCACATACATACACACATACATGCACACACGCATGCACGCACACACGCGCGCACACACACACACACACATACACATACACAGACATTGAGTTGATAGCCACTAAACATTATCAAATTGGAGGGACTCTTTTGTGAGTACCAATTTGTCTGGTCTAAGAGTATGTGTGCAAATGCTGTCCTGGCACTTTTGCCATTTCATGAAATTCTTTCTTCTGACTTTGTGTTTCCTGTATGTTTAGGCAAGTTTGGTGGTTACCAGAACAAGGCTCCACAACTTGACAAGCTCCGTGTTGTGTTTGGTGCGCCTGCACCGGAGAGGCTCAGTGTTCTCACTCATCAAATAGGTAAGTACTAGGTAGAGAGAGAGTAAACAAGTGCTGGGTCTGATAAGAGTCATGACGTTATCTACTTCTCGGTGTTGTTTGAAACCTTTTATTCTCACGGTGGCCTGTGGCCAATAAGGGAGGAAGAAAGACAGGTACGGGGATCGGATACAAGGAAGAAAACTTCCTTCTGCCAGCGATGATTTGTTCCATCTAATATTGGTACCGGTCTGTGAGTGGTTGTTCTATCTGATATTGGTACCGGTCTGCCAATGGTTTGTTCTATCTGAAAAACAGAGAGGTTCCAGGCTGTCCAAGAGAGTGCTCAATGCTGTTTTTTTGATGATCGCTTAGTGCGTGAAACACTGTTTCCGTCTTCTTATTGTTTGTTCTATCTGATATTGGTACCGTTTTGTCGTTGGTTGTTCTATCTGATATTGGTACCGGCTTGTCGGTGGCTGTTCCATCTGATATTGGTACCGGTCTGTCGGTGGTTTGTTCTATCTGATATTGGTGACATGTGTGCCGTGTGTTGTTGTTCTATCTGTGCTTTCCCTGAATAGAGTTGCTTCAGGCTTTTCAACAGCAACTCTCCAACGTTGCACAAAGCAAGTTGCGTCTCGATGTAAGTATGCCGTTGTCTGGCTTGAGTGCCACTCATAATGCTGTTGTCGTCGTGCAAATTGTCACGACGTCTTACTGTGTGTGACTACTAATACTAACATCTTCATAGTGCCTGTACCCATGGAATGCAAAGCGGAGCAAATGGTGATACATGCTTTGTGGGGTGGAAAGCTGGGAAGGTGCGACACAAGTACTTCGCTAGTCCAAACCCTGCTTCATATTATAATTATAATTATTGGATTTTGAAAATCGAGGTCACTTTTTTACTTTAGTGAAAGGTCTGGTTTTACCGAACCGAAGGTCATTTGCTGGTCAAGCTTTCCTGACATCTTTGATAATCATTTACAGCAAGATGTAGCATTTTTGTGTAGTTTGCTTTGTATAGCTCAATCAAAAAGATTTCGAAATTGGGTTGGGGAGAGCTCATATTTATATAGGATTTGACAGACAAAGATCTAGTGAGCGATCTTTAACATGAATTGGCTGCAGTGGAGTCTGCGCACTCTGAAAAAGATATACTAGTAGTGTGATATTGAAAGAAGGATGATGTTTTGATAACTGTTGGTGCTCCTGTGCCCTTTTGCTGTGTTAACTGACACAGACAAAGATTGGTGAAGCACAGGGCCTTGAGTTTCGACGTCGCCTCTCTCTCTGCAAAGAGAAGGAAGAAGAAGTTACCAGAATTGACGGCCAGATTAGAGTCCTATCTCCGAAACCGCCCACGACACGGCCATCTCGTACTGGTGCATCAGCAGTGTCTTCACCTCTTGCTGCATCCACCTCTGTGAGTGGTGCTGCTGCATCTGTGGGGGCATCGTCTTCCACTCCAAGAAGAGGGCGACCACCTGTTAATCGCGCTGCCAACAGCTCCACACCTGGTGAGTTTTCACATTAGAGAGGTTCCGCACAACGTTATTATGTTAGTAAAAAACGTAGTCGATCTACGGAAAGTCTTACATATACTGCATGCTGATCCGTGTTCCACCATACAGAGTTTTTAAACCATGTAGCTGCCCTTGGTAACTCCGAACACGACACTGTACAACCTAATAATTTTTGTACTGTTGTCCACTTGATTATCACTTCTGGGATACATGTACATGTATAATGCATGCAAGAGAATAACTTAGAACAGAGAAAATAACACTTCGACTTGAAAAAAGTTCTTCATCTCCAAAGTGGCCTGAGGTACCTTCAATTTACAAGGGAAGTATATTTGAAAAGTCGCAAGGCACCCTTCCAATCGAAACACATACCCATGCCATAATCATAAGGTCTGTCGAGTGGCCAGGCTTTTTTCTTCTTCTTTTCACAACTTGTTTTCACTGTGTAACATGCGTGTGCATGTGTGTGTGTGTGTGTGTGTGTGTGTGTGTGTGTGTGTGTGTGTGCATGTGTGTGTGCGCGTGTGTGTGCGCGCACGTTTGTGTGCGTGTTTGTGTGTGCAGTTACAACAGTAAGCGCTAGTCTGGCAAGCAGCGATGCATTTCAACAGACACGCGGGGTGCGCACCCGAACGCCATCTTCATCCAGACAAAGTCCCAATGCCAAGCGTCGCCGTTACAACTAGTAATCTGCACTCTAACCCACTCTACATCTACTGCTGTTCCTGATCGGTGGACTGGTGCAGAAGTCCATGCTAATGCTCATTGGAGTATGGTGCTGTGGGTCCATATGGTACCCTGTGTACCTACTGTTCACCATTACACACGCACAACTACTGCCACGCCGGGAAGCGGGAAATCCATCTGGGAAGAAGACAGGTATCTGAAGATTTCGCTGCTCGGTCAATTTGTTTGTAGTGTCGTCTCGAGCGTGTGTGTGCAGTGCCGGATATTCCCAACTTCTTCACAGATGTCTGCTGTGTAGTAGTAGCTGAAATACTGATCACGCTCTACTCTTCACTGCGGCCTTGCTTCTTCACACCAAAGGAAATGAAAAACTGCCGGGGTACTTCCAACGTTCCAATCTTCTTCTTTTTCTGTCGTCGTTACTGCTGCTGTCATACGTTTTGTGTAATCCTGCGTGATATGGCTCATGGTGCTATTTGCCTCTTCTTGTGGATGAGAGTTCATCATTGCATGATGCGTGTTTGGAGTATTCTCTTGTCGGACTCTCTGAGTGAGATTTGTCGTCATGTACCTGTGTGCAATAGCAATTGCTGTATGACTAGCATGATACTATTGCGAGTGTATACGTGTGTGTGTGTTCTGCCTACCTGGGTGTGATATTTTGTTCTTGCGTCACCGTATACTAGTATTCTCTGGGGGTCGAACAGACTGCCTTCGAGCTGCATTCCTTACCCCTGACATTGTATCCTTGAGTGTGCCTTGCGTGGATAGGAATTGCTATATTGAAAGACTCATCCTCATCAAGCTGAGTGCCAATCACTGTATGCATGCATGCATGTATGTCTGCTGCCCCTCTGTATGCCTCTAAAGCAATGTTGACTGTTTACCATTTCAGTGTTACTATTGAGCTGCTAGAACATAATGCTATACTGTTGTTTGGCGATGTGCCGTAAGACTGGCCAAGAAAAAAAAACATTCCATTGCCTCTACTTCCGTGCTTCTCATCCTAGATGACATTGTAGGATTCATCACCCTGGATTTTCTTTCCCCTTTGATTTGTTCCGCATTCTGTAAAGCGTTGCTTTTAGCGCTAGTATTTGCAGCGCCCCAGCTGTCATCACGATGACGTGCAAGGTGTCACATTGACCAACTCATGTAGTGTTTCTGTTTTTCAATTTTCATCAGTCTCTTTGTTTTCGTTTTTTTGCCAGCTCTGTTTCTAGTCTGGTAGTTCTTTAGTCAACAGGATTAGATCTTCTTTTTCTTTCCATTCTTCTTACATTGTTTTGGTCGCTCAGTAGATTGCAAGTGCTGCATGTATGCTCGTGCTCTCCCCTTTCATTCTCTCTCACACTCAAAATCTCTCTCTCTCTCTCTCTCTCTCTCTCTCTCTCTCTCTCTCTCTCTCTCTCTCTCTCTCTCTCTCTCTCTGTTATGCATCTTTCTACTCATTTATCTTTGTTGTTGGAGTGCATGTGAGGATTTGGCAACACCTGCATGCTGGGAGTTGCAACGCCACCTTATGACTGCCTGAGGGTCTCGGAGTAATGCCTTCCTTTCTTATTGTTTCAACTTTCTATGGTTGCCTTCTCTTTGTAGTCTTGGAGTCTTCCTTTAGTCAACATGGTCTTTCTTTCATTTCACTTTGCTGTTGGCTGCAAGCGATGCTCTCTCTCTCTCTCTCTCTCTCTCTCTCTCTCTCTCTCTCTCTCTCTCTCTCTCTCTCTCTCTCTCTCTCTCTCTCTCTCTCTCTCTCTCTCTCTCTCTCTCTCTCTCTCTCTTCCTATCTTTTTGTTTTTGGGCGGAGTGCACGTGAGGATTTGGCGATAGCCACTTGTTTGGTGTGCATGTGTAGTTTGATACTACCTGCAGCCTGCTGTGGTATTTTTGAGTGCAGCTGACCTCGCGTATACACTCTGTACTCTGTACAGTCAACCTTGCGAATAACGACCCTCAACGGGCATGACAAAAGTGCTGTTATTTGAATTGTCATTGTTCGTGACAGTCAAACTTCAAAGTATGCAGTCAAAAAATGGTTACGAGATCTGAAGCTTGCGTCGCTATTCGAGAGTTGCTAGATTCGAGGTTGTTGTTGAAGAGGCTTATAATAGTTGATGGAATTGAAAAGGGAAATTAAAAATATTAATTAATAGTAAATTGAAAACATGGAAAGCAATGGGACACAAGTTATGCATTATAGAGTCCACCAACTAAACCAGTTTTTGAACAGGCAGCGCAATGGCGGCGCGGATCCAGGAGGGGTTCCGCGGAACTCCCTACATTTCGTAAAATGTACTACTGGCAACCACATGCGCATATGCGTGCCAATGTACATGTCTCACCTATTCAGTTTTGACTATACTGGAACCCCCTGTAGAGATCGCTGGCCATGATCCGCTGCTGCAGCGTGGACAAATTTAGGCTAGAATAGCACCAAACTGACAAGGAATGGGAAAGTTTCCAAGGACTTAGGTGATTTGATCACGTGACGTTACTGGCAGGTTACCGGCGGAAAAATTTTACTGCCGTGGCTGCTGTGGCAGTAAAAAATTTCCGGCAGTAAAAATGTGCCCAGGCTGCAAGCGTGCTGGGAAAAAGGGAAAATCCCTTGTCAGTGCCGGGGCGAGAGTTGCAAAACTTCACGGTAACGCTAGCTTTTATCGGTACGAGTCGTACTTGTGTGAATGTCCTTCACGGTTTATCACTATTCACGGTTTGACGGGGTTCACGGTAGTCTGAACGCGCCCCAAGGAGCACTGAGACATTCCACGGCATGAAAGTGAGCTTCAGCACTGGTCGATAGAGCTAGCCAACGGCCATCTAACTTGGAATAAAATAGCTACTAAGACAGGCCCGTAGCAGCCCCATTTTGGTTGGTCCGGCAAGATCCGACCTCGATGCCCCCCCCCCCAAGCCCACACTCATACATTTGCCGGTACATGTCCAAAATCATCACGGTACATGATTGTGCGTGTATGTGTATGTAATCGTGACCATGCAGAGTGACATATGGCGAGAAAAGGAAGAAGGATCTTCTGCATGAGTCAGGAAAAAGGGCATCAGCATGTTGTGTCCGTCCAAATAGAACTTATTGAAGCCTATGAAGGCATAGCAACAGTATCTAAATGCATGTGATACAAGTACCAAAATGGATCTTTGGAGGAGGAGAAAGGACATTGCAATAGAATATCTTTGGTACAAAGCGGATCTAAAAAGAATTGGGGGGGGGGGGGGAAGAAAAGAATCCATACATTTCAGAAAGTACAGAGTAGGAACATTCACAGACATGACTGTCCAGTACTCCAAGGCATGTACATGTACATGTACATGTAACGATCATGTCAACTTGCAAAGAAGTGCAGGAAGTGGGCACAGGAAGTGGGCACATCCACAACTTACTTGGCACAAGCCAGTGGTGAAAAGTGATAATTACTAGTATATTATCGTCATCAATGATCAGATGTAGTATATAGTCAGTAGCAGTTCACAATGCACTGAAAAGGCATGTGACATACATGTTACAAGATACCGTCACACGTACATGTATACCAGTAATTTATAGCGAGTCTGTGCATGTAGGAGGGTACGTGGGTGTCATACTTGCCAACCCCTGGCAAACAGTTTCCTTGACACTGATGATGTTTTCCTTGATTTTGCCTATTTTTCCTTGATCTGCAATTTTTAGATCATAATTGTGTAAAATATTGTATACGACATCATAGTGACGTCACCATGACCACAAAACATTCGCAAAATTTAATAGTACAACATGTACGACAAAAAGTACTTTTTTCATGCGCTAACTCAAAAGTTCTCGCTCGCTACTCCTTCGTTTTGGGCACAGAACTGCGAGCGAGCATCCAAAACACTAAAAATTAGGGGTGAAAGTAGGCACTGAGATCCCGAGTTCGAGTACTCTGATTTCCTCCGATCGAATATTCGAGTATTCGAGTATTTTTCATCTCCTAAAAATTGCACACCAAGGGCTTTAAAATAACATGATACAACCCTGATTGAACCGAGTAGCCGTCATTTTTCTCGGGTATATTGGGTGGCACCGGTGGGTCATTTGGGCTCTCTCTACTCGTGAACAAATGTTCACCACACAGTCTGCACATCACCATCTGCCGACTGCTGCCCTGAAACTGCAGATTTCTGCAGTAAATGCATGTACCATGTATGAACGAGTACTCTGATTTATTCCGAGTACGATTATTTTTGAAAAAACCGAGCGAGTACTCGAGTACTCGGTATAATTGTTTCACCCCTACTAAAAATTAACAAAAAATAGGTGTTGACGGACATTTTCGAAAATCCGGTAGATGTTATCACTTTTCCAGTATACCGGGACGAAAGCGAGTTTTCCTTGATTTCCCGGAAATTCCGGTAGGGTTGGCAAGTATGGGGTGTTGTCTAGGCCTTGGCAGATAATGCTCGAAAAGGTGGCAGATTCTGCTTTTTTTGCACCGAAATTGGCAGAACCATACAAACCTTATGGCGGGCAATTCCTCGAATTCTGCTCCATTTCTTTATCCACATACCAAACATGCATAAAATTACCAGAAAATGTACTTAATTCTGCCAATTTTTCTGCCGGCATTATCCGCCAAGCCCTACTGTTGTCCTGTGCTGTGACCTCCTGCCATGCCATTCCTCCTGCCATGGTACATGTACATGACATCAAGAGTATGTAACCCCCACCCTCCCGGTTTAGACACTTGATACCATGTACTACCTCTACTTATTGCACACATCATCATGGGTGGACATCCTGAGCTGCGCACATATATGTGTGAGCTCCCGCCTTTTTTTTTTTTTTTTGCCGAACATTGGTCCGGCAGCTGCCGGACCTGCCGGACCGCCTGCTACGGCCCTGTAAGAACTTCAACTGCTTTAGCTATGACTGAACATTGAAAGATAACTTGGCTCCTACTGTAAGAGAACGTGCGTAGTATTCAGTGCTTCAAGCTATAATTACAGTAGAACTTCCCATATCTGGGCAGCAGGTTGGGGCCGGGCGCAGCAGCTCAACTTGCAATTGCCTGTAACTCAGAACACAGACACTAGTACTTATTACGTGCAAAATTGATACTTGATGATTGATGCTAATCAACAGCTTTTCGGCACCACTTTCATTGGAAAGCCGAAGTTGTGAAAGTAGAAGGGTCAGAAAGGTGCCCGGTAATAGCCCTTGGTGGACTAATGCTCTAAAGATTGGCAGATTCTGCTCGAAAAGCAGTGAATGCGGCGAAAGTTGCCGCAGAACCATACAAACCCTATGGCAGGCACTTCCTAGAACTCTATGTCATACCAAACATGCACAAAACATACGACAGTCAGACCTCGCTTATCCGGTCCTCTTTAATCCGGATCCCTCGCCATCCGGAAGAAAATTGCTGGTTACCGATGTGCAGCATATGTTACGCATACAACATAACCGGACCTTGCGATCCGCATACTAGTGCAGGGCCGGAGGAAGGAGGTCGGGAGTGGTCCGGCCAACCTTTGAGGGGGGTCCGGGGGACCTCCCCCGGGAGAAATATTTAAAATTTTCGTGAAATAGAGCGAATTTGGGCATCTCTAAGGCTCCAGAAAATGCAGAAAATTATAGTAAAAGAATACAAACACAACTTTTTGTATCCATATCACCTATACAGTGCCGGTCACGGAGTCATGAGCTACTTCGAAGCACATCACACGTCAGCAGTACAGTCGAGTCATGTACCTCTGGATTTTTTACACCGGTTATGCACGAATCACATGGACCATCCAGCTCAGTGAGAAAGTGGTCCGGCCATGGCCGGACCAGCCTGACCGGTTCCGCCGGCCCTGTAGTGCATGATTTTGTGTACAAACTGGTAGAAACGTGTACAAAAAGCTTCGTCGTATCCGGCTGCACGTGGCTTGCAGAAGCTGGAATCAGGGAGTTGTACAAACAAAATGAGGTCCTTGGCCTGCTGGATGCATGCGGATAGCACTCAGTTGCATGCGCTTGTCATTTTTCTCACTTGTTACATATTGTGCACGCTAGTTGTACTGCATAGGACTCGCATACATGTATGTATGCCACCCCTTTTGATGTGCCACATGCAATAATGTGTGTTCAGTTATCCAGTTCCCTCGCCTATCCGGATATTTTCATGGAAAACGGATGGGTGCGGTAAAACGAGGTCTGACAGTAGAAGAAAATTTAATACCAAATTCTGGCAATTTTCTACTGCCATTATCCGCCAAGGGCTACCCGGTAGATGGGAGTGAACGGATCAAGGGAGTCTCCATTAGGAGAGTTTACTGATACCGTAGTTCCGCGCATATAAGCCCATGGGCCTTAATCCGGATATAAGCCCACCTCCGTTTATAGGCCCATGGGCTAATAAACAGACCCAAACACCGTTACGGAACCGATAGTACAGGATGTCAGTGCAGACTACATTACCAGTACCGGTACCTACGGTAGGCGGACAACCGCGCACGGACTTGTATTTTTTCGCGTGCCAGCTGCCTTAAAAATTCGAATATAGGCCCAGAGCTAAAAAACGAACCATTATTACTATTTTTTTCCCCCGGAAAATGCATTATTTCGTATAATAGCCCATGGGCTTATATGCGCGGAACTACGGTAATGCATAGAGGTTATGTGAAT